CACATAGTAAGTTGAACTAACCCTTTCCCATTCCATGTTGCTATTCAAGGAGTAAAAATTTTATGTCCCTGTGTCGCGAGAACGCTGTAAAAATCTGAGAATAATTAGCTCCATGGAGCTAGCCGAGTTTAGGGTGGTACCCATAACTAAAATACTCGTCTGGTGGCTTGTTTTTGTGCTGTTTCTAACCACCCAAAGTATGAAAAATGTCGCAAATGTGCTGAAAGGAGGCAGTGAATGCCTTTATCATACAGATTTCCTTCTTCATTTTTTTTCCAGTTATACCAGCCTCAAGTTGCTTTGGGTGCCTTTAAAGTCCAATACGGCTATGTGGCAAGATTCTGGACATGTCCGTGCGATGGTATTGTCGAACACCAATCTGTCCTTTTAGAGGCGCGTTGAACTTACTGGACAGAGTTTTACGTTTCTTTGTGTTATCCTTGCTTCTTTCAGCTGAATCAAAAGCATGGTTTTTTATCACGACGACATCCAACTTTGTTGGTGGTTTCCATGGCTGTCCTGGTACACTAGTGGTGGTAGGGATGACATCCACTGACTGGCTGGGGTACACTGGTGTACTAGCGGTCATACGCAGAGGGAAACCACGGACCCTGGAATTGACAGGTTAACACAAAATTTACAGAAGGCAAAAAATATTGGACCTGAAAGGGATAACCAAAACAATCAATATACATAGTTTACTTAAAATGAGTACCTGTCACCTAAAAAACAGTTGGTGTACAATATATATATGTATATTTTTTTTTATGTTACACATTTTATTTCAGGAGTTAAGATGCCTGCCTAAATGTGAAGCTAAACTGTTTTTATCAGGCATGGTAACTAAAAACTAGTTGCTTTCTAATCCCAAAATGGAAAGCATTGGGAGAGCAAAATAAATCATAGGAGTGGAAATCTATTTACAGCAAACATTGACCAAATTGCTCATTTTTGAAGCTATATATTATATATTAAGGTCACCTTGGTTTGTATGTGGTTTGGAAAAAAACTTTGTTTGAAGTTCTTCCTGTTCTATATTTGTTGCACAGTACAACTAAAGCTGGTCCACAATGTCCTTGGAATCAAAGATAATATTACATGTACAATATCTCACAGTAATCCTGCTCTACCTGTATATGTAAGTATAATCACGTATGTCCGCATGGAATGCTACAATGCTATCTTGAACAGACCAAGTGACTTACTGTTCAGGTTTCATCCTGATCTTCATTTCATCCACCATGTGGGCTTGGATATGGCCAAGCTTGTGGCAAGATGGGATGTTTTTGCCCTCATGAGTCCTCCTGGCCTGGTCGGCAAAGTACTGCGCTGCCACTAGAGTTCCCAGTCAGGCCTCGAAATTAACTTTTTTTACTATTGTCCCAAAATTGTCCCAAAAATAGATTCCAATTGTCCCGAACTGAGGATGGACTGTCCCAGCCTGCTTTTCAGGAAATAAGTTTATGACAACAATAAGAAAACAACAACAACTGAATTTGTACAACTTGAAGTCCACTAAGTTAGTACAGTAAATGTCCATCATTTTCCTTGACTGTAGGGAAATGCATGATAGTATCATGGGCGCAGCACCATCTTCAACGCCCCCCCTCCCCATGCAACATTTGGAATCCCCGATTGGTCAAATTTAAATGTTTGTCAGAGTATTATGGGCTACCAGCAGCCCGCAGCAGGATGGATGGATCATGTTCCTAAATGATGTGGACAGTCTCAGATGAGAATTTTTCAATTGCCCCGAAATTGTCCCGAAACGTAATTTGAATTGTCCCGAGCTGAAAATTTTGTGTCATTTGACACTGGGACAATGTTAATTTCGAGCCCTGCAAGGACATTTCATTTTTGAGCCATGTCTACAGTAGAATTTGCATGACTCAAATAATTCATACAGGGCCGTAGAGGACAGCCTCAATGTGACATCTCTGGTTTGAAACTTTTCTGTCAGTCAAGGCCCCCAAGCACCACTTCCATCAGTCAGATGAGCCCCTAAAGCTTCCCATTCAGCTTTGGTTTGGGCTAAAATTGTGCATAGCTACATTGTTATGTTACTTGTTCATCTACAGAGGACATGTTTATGTAGTCAATTGTTCAACTTGTAAGTTGTCCTTTGGTATATTTACAATTCTTCAACAACCACAAAATTTAGATAAAGCTATAGTTTGCTATGTTCCTAGCAAATATTACAAATAAGAAATAACTCTCTTAATATTATAGTAATGCCTAGGATCTAATAAAACATGCTTCAGCCAATCAGAAATAAGCAGCAAAAATGAGGCAATAGCTAAGCATACAGCATGGAATAGTAACTTCTCATTGGCCAATTCATGTGCCAATCATAGCACTTGAAATACCATTTTAACTCAGCTTGAAAAACTATCATATGACAACTTACAATCTAAGCTACATTGTACGCATTTACAGCTGTTGCTTGCTACAAGAACAGTATTAGTTTGGCATTAAATACAAATATTTTCTCTGCATAATTAAGCATAATAAGTCCTAGATAAAGCATCTGCTAACAAATGCATATACCATTTAATTTTACGTAATATTTAAATTCATTAACACACTACATATACTTCTCAATGCTGCTTTGGTGTTTTCATACAAAAACTTACAAACCTTACATTAAATGCTGTCCCCTTTCTTCAGTCCTCCAGCTATGACTCTGGATATTCACGATAAGAAAAAGGAACACTGGCCATTTTACTCATGAAAAACGATAAATGAACTCAAGCTATTTTACTTTGTACAATTACAAAAAGTATACAACTTCAAGAATAAGTCATTTGACTTGGAGGTAACAAATAATACAATCTTCCAAACAGATATACCAGTCAGACTGGTAATAAAAGAAGATTGTGTTTTAACTATGTCTAGTTCTTTTTGCATGGTGCTGAACAAAAATGAACAAAAACAGAACATCAGCCTTAGTTTGAGCCACAGGTTAACAAGACACCCATATAACTGAAAGTCTTGGAGAACTACCTTGAGTTTTAGTAAAGCAAATTAGTACACATCACTGTGTAACTCTTTCTGGAGACAGCTGCACTTGAGGAGATAATATTTGTTGTTGTGAGGCACTAGAAGTTGTGGTTGTTGTTGTTGTTGTTGACGGTGTTGCCGTGATCTCTGGAGAAGAGGGCTTCACCTTGCAGTCACAGGTGCACTTACAACAGTTGGCGTCTGACTCTGTCTTGATGACGATCACGGGCAAGATGGGCTGGCCGGGATCGCTGGTCGACTGCTGCTTCCCGACCGTCACCGCGCTCTGTGTCAGCGTAGGAAGGAGTTCTGCGGCCTGTGGTGCGATGCTCTGTAGCTCCTCCGGCCTGGTCAGAAACACGGTCGTAATCCTGTCGCCAAGTCGGGTGGTACAACAGTCCTTCCCACCTGCACTGGTGGCTGGGGCAGTCGTCGTCGGCTGCGGAACGTTCCTCACTGTTTGCTGTGTCTGACCTTGCAGTTGACCTTGAATTTGACCTTGATCCAGGGTTTGTATGACCTCCTGCTGTCCTGCTGTCTGGACCAGGTTTAACTGAGACAAACAAAAAACAGCAATGATCAAGACTCAAGGTATTTAGCACATGCTTTCATCAAAACTATTGCAATAGCTGGTACAGTGTGCAAGCAAACTACTAGAGAGTACAGTTCCCCTACCGGGTATGTCTGTGGTGAGTCAGGCTGGAACTGAGACAGGTCAGTGTCCTGAGTGGAGCTGCTGTCTGCTGTGGGTCCCACTGATGTCTGTACCTGGGGTGGGAAACAATTCATAGACAGATAAACTTTTACTGCACACAATTGTACAAGGCACAATATATGGCATGGTACATGTATATAAAAAATACTATGAGACTAATTTACCTTACAAAAAACTATGGAGTATGTGATGAGATTCTCAATGTACATTTACATTAATACTAGTAGACCTGGGTTCCAGAGTAGTAAAAAAGAATAGATTTAGGAAATTAAAATAATCATACCAAAACCAATCACTGATATATTTGTATGGCATGCGCTCATTTCTAGAAGTTTGTAGTTAGAAATGTTACGTCCTGAGCTGTGTTCCCTCACCTGTTGTGACATGTGCTGCAGCAGGGAGGCTATCTGAGTGTCCACCTGTGCACTGTTCACGTCTTGGCCAGGCTGTACTGACGATCCAGCTGACGGCATCTTCACTTCCTTCAGTGTAAACACCTGGGACATAGGAAGTTTTACAGCTTTAGTTTCAGTTCAAATAAGTTCTCCAAGGCACACCTAAAAGGACTTGCCTGACAGAGGAAAGTACAGAAAGGAATACTGAAACATCAATCATTACCATGTTATTCAACAGCCTGTGTTACAATGTCTCTCATTGTCAGGGCTGATGGGGCCTTTAACTCGAGAACCAATGCCATTCCCAGATCTACCACTATGAGCTTAGGATTCTTTATTACTATGGAAACCAGTCATCACAACCTCCAACACTAAACTGGTCTTTGTTACCACATAAGTCTGCTGACTTAGATGTGTTGGCTTCTATGGGCCTGACCAGAAAGGCAGTTAGAAGCTTGATGTAGTTAGCCTATAGCTAGTTATTCACCAACATAATGAAACTGTTCACGGAGCTTTTTTTTTTTGTCAGCTCTCACTCAGCATTAGCAGCAGGACTGCCTTTGTAGACAGAATGCTGTCAGAGGTTTGCGCTGAGAAAAGAATTAACTTCACGTTTGAATCTTTGTCTGTCCCTGATCTTAGCGATCTCCCTTGGAAGACTGTTCCAGAGCCTAACAGTTGTTGGTACAAAAGTTCTCACATGGTTGTTTGTGTGGGAGACAGGGACCACCAGAGTGTTTTCGTGATGGGATTTTGACTGGCGTGTCACCCGCCTGTTAGTCTGGGGAGCTTTATGTTCACTCATTGAGGCCAACACACTTGTAGTCTTTTATCAGATATACAAGTAAATGATGTGTTCCTGGGTGTACCTGTGAGTTGTCAGCCTGCCCCTCCCCCTGGGAAGATACCACGGGCACGTTCATGAGTATGGTGGGGGGGATCAGGTTAGTCTGGGGCTGCAGCTGCAGGTCGGGGGGCAGCAGTAGGGTGGACGGTTGCTGCGGCAACTGTTGCCCGGGCGATGACTGCAGCACCTCCACCGGACTCCCGAGGGAGCTGTAGTCAGCCTGATGCACTTGGGTTGAGCCTGGGGTTGGAGAAGAAAACGTAGAGGAATGTCAATCATACAGACTACTACTACTAACCGTTGTCCTGCGGAGCCCATATATACAACGTATATGGGTTGCACATACAGTACCGTCTATACAGTACCATCTATAGTATTTCTCGTGCAACGCATTACGCCACAGCGAAATGCAACGAATGCGGCAGTAACTATGCCACTGCAGGGCAAAAAAAGTCCTAGACCTGACCTGATTGAGACATCAAATTATTTGAAAATATTGTGTAAAACATGCCAGCAGGAGAAGACAAATGTTTTTGTCATTGCAATTGGGAAAATTATCTAAGGGACCACCGAAAACTGGCCAGGTGGTCCTCAATATGTAGAGGTGGTCACTTGTACTGGCTTGACTGTAACTGTACTGGTGCTGGAAAGAGCTACAGCCCTTAGGATTGGACATTAAGCTGTGGTTCACTCACTCACTATCCATTCATTGTTGGAAGTTGCCTCATCATCAGTGTGCAAGCAGGTCTAACCCTTGGAAGACAAGGAACAACAGACACTAAACTGGACAGTGAGCGTGGGTGAGTGCCTACACATACAGTCCCTGAAACATACCTGTCCCTGCTGTTACAAAAGCTGGCTGCTGGGTGGTGACAGCCACGCCGGTGTCCGGTCCTAACGCCACGATCTGGTTTCCCTGCTGGTCCGTGTAGATGGGAGTCAACATGTCGGTGGAGATGGTGGGGAGTGCCTGGAGTGGGATGGAGGAGGTCATTACTAAATCTTTCAATCAGATTTTCTTTAGAAATACCTTAGCTTGGAGATCTGACAACCTGTTTCAGGGGATATAATCATATGAAGCTTTATGTCTGTAAAGCTGGTGGGTTGTTGCTCAATAGAATTTACGTACATGTCATGTAACATCTTAACAATACAAGAACCCACTGGTCTTGTGGCTTGTGCTGAGTAACTACTAGCTTCCTGACCTTCTGGTAATCTGGGTGTGTGGGTAACTAGCAGCACAGAGTTTCTTGCTTCAGACATGGCAAACAAGACTTGAGGGGAAGGAGTGAAAACAATAGTGTTTGTGAAAACCTGACAAACAAACAAACAAACAAACCATGCTGTCTTGTGCTGCCTGTGCCTGGATCTGTTCTAAGAGTGAGTTGGCATCGCCTTGTCCCAGCTCGCCAGACGAGGCCAGAACAAACTGGCTGCCGAGCGACCACTGTTCTATTGCTCCTGTTGTCGTGGTGATGATGTGGCCATCCTGGGTGAGAAATTTCAAATCAGTATTTAAGAGTTTTAAGAAAATTACAGAACCAATTTGACTGACACAAATGGTCAATCAATCCTCCGTGGGCATTAACTTATGCATGCTGGCTGTAGACATCTCTCTCCAGGCGGTTTTAATCTTGGCCTGGGACCTCCAGTTGGCCCTCTCTATGTGTAATGGAGATACATCTATACAGAATTTACAGAAGGTACTCTCCATAACACTTACAAGCTTGAATTCTTGAATTTTTATCACAGAAAGAACACAGGTTAAACTGCAAAAGACACTTCTAGAACTTAGTAGAAGCATCACGTTTGTCAGCCAGCTTCTTACCTCTCCTGGGCATGGCGAACCTAGAGCAGACAGGCCCTTCTTGGCGTGAGTTTTGATGTGGCTCTTGAGACTGTACTGTGTGGTGAAGGCACGCTGACAGCCTTCCTTCTCACAACTGTAGGGCCTCTCACCTAGACACACACATACACACATGGTAAATGAAGTCAAATATGTCTGAAGAAGTGGAATCATCTGTCTAATCATCCTTTTGATCTTTGTCATTTGGAACATTTCATTCAACTCAAATTTAAAGAACATCATTATGCTTACCGAAGGAAAACATATTGTTTTTGGTCAGTTTCCTCTTCTCCAAACAAAAAAGGTCAATGACCTGGGCCAGACAGTCTATCACCATGGTAAATAGTGTTGCAATTTTATAGCAGGAGGGATTTAGACTCCTGTGTCTGACCATAGACACGAATGTGTTTGAGTAAGAGTTAACAGAGCAGACCTAGGTAAACATTAGGCCTAACAAAATAAATGTTGTGTTTCCTATTACAGTCCAGAAAAAATTAGGGTCGGTAGGTAGGGATTCCCTTTTTTTTTTTTTTTTTTTTTTTTTTAATTCCATGTCAATATACAATGCAGCTTGTCAGGGCAAAACTATTAAGATTTTTTTTCAATTTTTAATCTAAACAAAAATACATGAAAACACTGAAAAAATATCACTAGTATGTCTACAAAGCTATTAAAAATTCTAATCTTCATTTCTAAAATGAAATAAAACTAAAAAAAATTGGAAATTGAAAAACATATTTCTAAAAGGAAATTAAAAATAAAGTGCTTCCTAGAATTTCTAATTTAGCATTAAAAATAACACCACGACACGATATTCAAAAAATCAAAGTTAAAATTTGCACCCAGACAGAAACAGAAAAATTACAGGTTTTGCTACTGCAAACCTGTAATTCTACCCTAGCCATCTAGCGGTTTTGGTCAAAACTGCAGTGTTTTTGCCCAAGTCTCACGGAATCTCGCGAGATATCGGGAGATTTTAAGAAAACAACAGAAAACAAGATGGCCGACCTCGTGCCGAGCGCTACACATTTCTATGTTCAAGGCCACGAAAACGTGTCCAAAACTCGTAAAAATGGATTGAATACAAGGTCACAACAAAGAAAAATGTTCTTCTCTCTATGTTTAATTTGTTGGAGCACCGATTCCTCATTTGAAGGGAAGATTTTCGTGAGTTATTTTTCTTCCATATTGCCGAATTTTGAAAGGGGATTTTCCACGTTAAAATCGCCATGTACTAGCCCCTAAAATCTATTCTCTGACTGTTTGGGCTGTATTTCATGGAGAAATTAGCGTTGTTTACATGAAAATAGGATTTTCAAATGCCAGCAGGGTGTCAACATTTTACCAAACACATTGATTTTGTGTAGCAAAGTGGACTATTGTTATTCAAATAGCGCCTTTTCACAACTTTTGTCAGACAATACCGATGGGCATAGTGACGCCGCTTGGCCCCCAAATCAGCAAAAATTTCACGAATTAGCCAAGCTAACACAAGCAAAAGTACGAAGAGAAGACCCTACATTTGAAAACTTTATGAGAGGCGCTGAAAATTTTATGAGAGGCGCAGCGCCCTTGTTTCATTGCTTGGGGAGACCCCTGTCTTGTATACGAATGTACACAAAACCCGGGCTCTCACCGACCGCTAGCCGCTCGAAATTTTTGGTCGGCCCAAAAAAGGCTAGGGTCGGGGGGTTTTTCATAGGGTCGGTCGGGTAACCGGAAACACAACATTTTTTTTCCTAGGCCTTATGCATTTGCTTTGCAATTGTTACCTCTCTAGTTTTGTTCTATTTTTCCGCAGTAGAACTCACCTGTGTGTGTTCTTATGTGGGTCTTGAGATGATGACTTGCAGCAAAGGCTTTTCCACAGGAGGTCTCAGTACATCTGGGGTGGAAGAAAGTGTATTCAGTTATGATGGAAGGAAGTGAAAGTGTATTCAGTTGTGATTGAAAAAAGTGTATTGAAAATGGAAGAAAGTGTATTCAGTTGTGATGGAAGAAAGTGTCTTGAAAATGGAAGAACGTGTATTCAGTTGTGATGGAAGAAAGTGTATTGAAAATGGAAGAACGTGTATTCAGTTGTGTTGGAAGAAAGTGTATTCAGCAGTTGTGATGGAAGAACGTGTATTCAGTTGTGATGGAAGAAATTGTATTCAGTTGTGATGGAAGAAAGTGTATTCAGTTGAGATGGAAGAAAGTGTATTCAGTTGTAAGGTTTTGTAAGGTTTCTCTCCATTGTGAGTACAGTACTTACTTGTAGGGTTTCTCCCCAGTGTGAGTTCTCAGATGTTTCATGAGGTCAGACCTGGTAGTGAAGTATCTGGTGCAGCCGTCAGAGTCACAGTTGAAGGTTTCTCCCGAGTGCAGACGCTGGTGGGCTTTTAACCTGGAACAACGGCAGAAAGACGTCAGGTACAGTTTGGAGCATGAATACTTCTTCTTCTTCTTCTTTTTGGGTACCCTCGAACAACCCCTGTACGGGGTATCACTGAGGGGGGAAGCGGTACACGGGTTAAGGCAGGGCGGCTTCTACCCTGGCCTTAAAAGCCTCTACTGTCGGTGCCCTCACCACTGGGCCCGGCAGCTGGTTCCACTCGCTTACCGTGCGGGGAATACATGGTCATCCTTAGCAGTGTAAGACTAAGAGTTAAATGAACTCAAACATGGATGACTGGTCAACACAGATATGGTTTCCTGAATGTGCTTACATACAAGACAATGAAAATTTAGCTTGGCTGGCAAACATAACCCAACCTTGGCCATGTACATGTGTTAGTTTGATTTTTTTTAGAAATTCATCACACAAAATCAAGAAAAATATTGCTTTTTTTATTGGTGACAAATCTGGTGCTGGCTAGAGCCTGGTACATTTTTATCTTTAAGTGAAAGCACGAAGCAAAAATTTATCATGGTCAGACTGAAATCCAATTTTCTGCTGTGGAGTTTCCCGTGATGGCTCCATGGCCAGAGATAGCCATCTTGAAACACTCACGCAAAGGCTAATTGCACAAGTGATGGGGTATGGCAGGCGGCCAGTGTGGCCTTCCCAAAATATGCAGGAACAAAAGAAATGCTGGAAATTACTTTTTGTTGAAATGGAACAGAAACTCAGTCTAGCATTAGCCTGTATTAATTCTAACCGATTTGTCAAGAAAAGAAAAAGGTTTCACATGTACATGTACATCTAAATCTATATTTACTGAAAAATGTACTTCTTTGGTGTCAAAAGAACAAAAATCATCTGTTCAAGTCGGAACTTGAGTCTTTTTATCAAGATCACAAAATATAAAATAACAAGACAGGATATACCATGCCTTTTTCCAAAAAAATCATTAGCACTTGCATAAACAAAATTGATCATAACAATACATGTCATGAGAGCATTGTACGTTTTACAGAGCAAAAATAAAATTGTGACAATGCTGTAACCTAATTCCTAAGATAGAATCAATACACTAAGCACCACACTGCGTGTAAAGTGAAGTGAAGTGACTGAGCACTCTTCAGTGCAGCATCGTTTGCACAATAAACATACGTATACCCCCAGCCACCAGACTTGACCATACACAATGATGGAAAAGTCATGTTTGTTGTTTTTACTAATTTTAGCAGATTTTGATTTGATTTATCAGACTGTATAAACAAAAACGTCACATACAGCCAGGACTGCCTAGCTGTATGTATCTCCGGCTAATAGCCCAACTAGCCGGAGGATATTATAATATAAAGGGCTAGCCCTCACAACAAGAAACAATTCAGTTGTTAGCAGATCTACCCCCTGGTTAGAGAGGTGTTCAATAATCTGCTTACTAGTATGTAATGTTACTGTATTTATAGTTATGTAATGTATTTAAATTTTAATGTAAATCTGGTACATGAAACCAGCTTCAGTAGAGTCAAACAGGCTACTGTTCTAGCTAAAAATTATGGACAACTGTATTTCATACTCAGAGTAGGAAATACAGTTTTCCATAATTGTTGTATTAGCCAGTAGCCTAATAAAACTCCCTGGGGAAAATCAACTGACAAGAAATCATCTGCGTCATTGCAGAGACGATAGGGGTTATCAATAATATCATGCTGCATACTTCTGTAAGTGATGTTGTTGCCACAGAGCTAGTTGTACATTGTATATAGACTAGAAGGCAGTCAAAAGGCATGCCACATTGTGGGGTGCCCTGATCTACAACAGTACAAGCACGTCTTGGGAGGGAAAGATTATAACAATTCTGACAGTCACAGTGTGTGCACAGTCCAGTGGTTAGCAGCCCTGCCTCAGCCAGAACATGAGGGTTGGGAGTATGACTTCAAATGACTTCAAGAGCTGCTGTTGCTCACATGATATACATGTGTTATATGCTATGAAAAGGACTATTGTAGAAGAATTTCCCTCGTACAACAAATCTGCAAATACTGAAACTAGCATCTGTCTTCTCTGCCACGTCCAGGGGAAGATTAGCTTTTCTGTGAGCTAAACTGGTTTGAGATCACTTTTACTTTCATTTCTTCTGACCAGTTTTCTATCACAAAACCCTCAGATCTCAAGGTTTGTATCATAGTGTTACTATTTTAAATAATAACAATTTTGTAGAGTTTGAATTGACATTCAGTCAAGTAAAGGTTACCTTACATGAGTGAAGTCTAACATGTCAAAAATGTTAGTAATATTTTTATACTGAACATGTGCATTTACAGCATTTTGAAGCTTGGTCAAAAGTGTGTAGTACATGTAGTGTAAACAACTCATTGACTTAATTGCTTAAGAATGAAAGGATAATTATAGTTATCACAGGCTGCAATTACTTTCTCTTGTTAGTTATTCAAATGTAAAACCTTGGATAAACAAATACGAAAATAAACAGAACTCAAGCACTGATCTCTGTAATCTGTGTTACATAACCATGATTCATAAAAAATGTCAAACCTACCTGTATAACGTGTTGAAGGATTTTTCACAACCCGCCTGATCGCAGCTGTACGGCCGCTCCTTCGTGTGGACCCTGACGTGAATCTTCAGACTATAAGACGTTAAGAAGGCTTTGCCACAACCTTGCTGCTTACAAACGAACGTGTAGTCCTTGGTGTGCGTCTTCTGGTGGGTCTTGAGGTTGCCCGCCGTACTGTAAGTCCGGTTACAATCGGAGTATGTACATCGGTATCTCTTCACTTCCTTACTGTTTGTTGTCGGACATTCGGTCTCTAGCGTTAACGTAGCGTGGTCTATGTTGGTGGGATCGGGCATGTTACACCGTCCCGGGGTTATGGAGAACGTGATCTGGTCGGGGGAGATCGTGTGGTGGATGTACCCCTGCGCAGAGTTGTCGTCTCCCATCTCGTCCGGGTGTCCGTGAGAGCCATCTTTACCCTCTAGGCACTCGGAGTCCGACGCGCCCTCGATGAAAATGGCGGTCCTGTCGAACCCAGGGTGGATGAAATTCACGTTTCCGAACGCCTCGTCGTCCTCGCCGAGTCCCGTGCCTCCCGTGTTGCCGTTCTGGTCCGTCTCGAAGGAATCCTGCGAGGTTTCATCCTCGAAACTTTTCTCCAACCTAGGTTCGGTCGCCATCTTGTGTCCCTGGTAGGGTCAGGTTACTTTGACAAACAAGAAGGGGTGGGCAGGTGTTGTCACAAAAAAAAAGCATCCGCAAGCTTACATTCCTTCAAACGACCTCTTACCACGGTGTGAAATTTCGTTCCAATACACTTTACATTTGAAATGTTGAATTCACTCTACTATCTTTCCCAAACTTAAGCTAAACTTTGCCAATGAAAAATTTCAAAGTCGGCCTTGCGACGGGGAGGAAAATTTCACCAAAATAGACCCGTGCCACTGGACCCGTGCGCAAAATGCATTGGTGTCGGCGGCAAAAGACTGTACCACTTCTCCCCGAAATATCCCTATTTTGAAATGGCATAGTCCAAAGGGGTTGGAGGTCATCAAGATGGCAGCACCTTTTGGCTGTGGGTTCGGTGATCTTGTTTTGGCGTCTTCCAGAGCAGTAGACGATGAAGAGGAAGAAGAGGAAGCAAGCCAAAAGCCCAGGTAGGGATTAGACAAGAAAACCATGCTCTTAATTTGTCCATTGATGCTTTGAGTTTAATATAAAACCGAAACTTGCGAAGTGAGTTGTGGCGACTCACACCTTGCAAGTCATGGTGCACGTTGTTATTGTTTTGTCAAAGTTTGTTGACCCTTGGAGTGTTCAACATCCTTCTAAAAGCAAAATTTCCTCGAGAGAGGAACTTTTTAGTTTGACAGTTGTTCCTTGGTTGTTTTCAGTTACATGTATGTAACAATTTTTGACTAGTGTTGTGTACTACAAAAGCGCCACCTGTCGATTATATAGTGTACGTCAAGATCTTTTGGCCCTTCCAGAAAACTACTCGTGTAGAAAATGAGTAAATTGTTGTCACAAAATAGGTACATAACATTATAGCGTAACCATCCTGAAGCAAACTGCCATGTTTTCCTAATATTATATCAGATCTTGGATTCAGATTTTAGAGCATCTTGTCCATAAAGTCTAACTTTGTGTAACTGTCTATTTCCTCAGTCCTTGTGCAGTTTTGAGATGGTCTGCTCAGGCCAAACAGGAGATCAGCGAGTCTCCCAATGATTGCATCGAGTGTTCCGCTCTCATTGTGGCAATCGGGCCAGTAGCAACAGGTTAGCCGCAACTTTGTCTCAAATTTTCCTGGCTACACAGTATACTGATACAACTGCTATGTGGGGAAATAAGCATACATGTAATGCAAGAAGACAAAAATGTCCAACAAAAAAGACGAGAATTCTTTAGTACTGACTTTCATAACTGGTCACATCAATTAAGTTTCCTTGTCAATGTGGGATCTAGTTACATCATACTTTGGTACCAAAACGTAGTAAAAATTTGATACATGACTCATTAGAAGTATGACTACAATGTATTAAAAGTATGACTATGACTGTTGTTGAAAATTTTCAGGTTTCATCCACACCTACCTGCTGCACCAGGAGACAGAGATCCTGGGGATGATCGGCAGTGGCCTGTCAGAAAACACCTGCAACACCTTTGAGCAGACCTCACCTGCTGATGCCACCTGCTTCCTGCACAGACTCAAGTCAGCCCCCAGCGTCATCCTGTGTCAGTGTAACGTGGACGTCCCGTCAGAGATGATGTTCTCATGGACACAACAGGTCAGTCAGCTTTACAAAGTCATAGTGAAGGATATGGCATGACAAAAAATGCATTATAAAAGCCCCAAAAGAGCCCCAGTCATAGTCTGCTAAGGAGGCTGAGAATGACAATGATTTCTGTTTTGGAATATCACAAGTTATTTGTTTTGAGTTAAACTGCTGTACATGTTAGTATTCTCTTGCAGGTTGTGTGTCATTTTTCACTTTCCACCTAATCAAAAGAACTGTCATCAATCTCTGGTAAATCATAGTTTCTGTTATATGTTCATGTTCTATACATATAAACATGTATGTATGTATAAAACATCCCTTTTATTTTCTTCCAGCTGTTCTCCTGTATCAACATCCACAACACGTACATTGGCGTCCTGGCCAGCGCGCCAGTCAGCGAGTTCCGCAGCTCTGTGTCGTTGTCGGATGTTACCGTACCATTCCTACGTGGACTGAAGACAAACCAGTTCCATGGCAAGCCAGTCTGTCCGTACCTGGAGCAGCCCAACACTGTTAAGGGGCTGCCGGCATCAGGTGAGAGTATAGGTTGTTCTGTTTCTAACCTTTGAGTAGAGTTCAAAACATGGCTTTTTGTTACTTATTTGACATGATACCTGACAAGGTACTGGAAAGGAGGTGCAATCCTATAAGCTGTGGTCCACTTTGCATTTTAAAGTCAGAGGCATTTGCCATCATTTTATTAAATCTAAATACACATCTGCCCTTCTTCATAATGATCATCATCATCACCATGATCAGTCAACTGTATATTGGTCGGGGTTATACCACCCTTTACAGGGTGACATACCCTTTTATTTTATAGCTTCATTATCATGCGGCCAGAAAAAAAGAAATTTTTGGTGAAATAAAATAGGACTGATTAAATTTTTCTGTTTTGTGTGTGTCTGTCCCTGCAGTATTGAGTCACTGTCAGGTGTACCGTGTGCCTGCTGTGTTGTACATGTGCTACTCTGACTCCATCTATGTGGAGATTCCTGCCATCAAGGCCTTCCTACCTGTACTCAAGGGCACACCTTTCAGAGATATCGTCCAGGTGAGAACTCATCCTTAGTATGTGTAGCTTGCATTGCATAATTCTTAGATACATTTAGGTAGGGTTAAAGACAGGATAATTGTTAACTGTGCAAAATTCTAGGTGTAACTATGACAGTGATTTTAGTGTACATGAGGTAACTGTTAATGCATTTCTTTCATTTTATTTCCAGGAAAACCCACATGCAGACATCACACTGAGGAAACTGGTGGAACTGAGAGCCCAGCAAAATAACCTGTACACATGACAGAAGACTGCAGAATTAAACATTCATTGGCAACTAATTACTAGTAGTAATAGGTACATATAGTGTTAGGTAGATGAAGGTTCTTGTACTGTCTGTGAGATATGTTACAAGTGAAGACAGTAAAAAAGTCAACTCTATCAACCCTGAAGAGGTTTATTTAGTCAACGTTTTACAATGACATCAGTAGTCAAGTAAGTATGTATAAAGGACAGTAAAGGAATGTACATTGAACATCCTCACATATCTCAAAGATTAAATGATAAAGGTTTTAAAGTACTTGCCTAATGCGTGGTTATGGTTTTTATCTTCCATAATCCATAAGAAAGTGGTTTCAGTAAATTTTAAATTGCAAAAGGTGCACAATGTGGAATGACTTGATCCCAGGTCATGTCAACAAAATGACTCATTTGTTGGTACAATGCCCTCTAATTGGCAAAAACCACCCCTCCCCCCTCCAATGTCTATAGAAAAATGCAACCTTTCTTCATATCACACAGTACATAAGTTGTATTGTATCAGTAAGTGTTATTAAATCTACCCTTAGGTATGACCTATGTAGAAGTTTTGTCCATCCAGACTCTATGTTTATCTATCTCTAGTATATGTGCAGTCTTTGATCTCAAGCCCTTACTTCCCAATGAAATTTACACCTATGAGGAGTAATGGTAAAATACTGTTCATGACTTGTTTAGCCCTAACTTATCTCTGAAGTAGACAACACAAAAACCAACCAATGCCCCCAACTTTCCCCACCCTCATACCCTTTCCTGCAGTAGGTTTCACGTGTAAAGTTACCTGCCTATAACAATCTACAAGATTACACCACAAATAGAGATACTACTTCCTAATATTGAGAAAAAACAAAATAATCCAGTATCAAGTTGAAATGTTAAATTTTTAAGTCGTTGCCTCTAAAACTTTGGAAAATGGCGTTGAGTAGATGCAAAGCCTTACTGAATCAAAGCTGAGCTGTGCCAGCAATGACAGTTCAACCTTGATTCAGAATGACGTCCACCAACACAGATGAACTTTCAAGCTAAGATGCAGTAAGCCTTAGTAGTAGCATTCCTTCAATGGTCTTATAATAATGTTTGATAGCCCTGAGAATGTCACACGTTACTGTTCCTTCTGTCTGTAGTCGAGCGCTCGTAGTCTCTCCAGCAGACCTGGGTGAGAGTAGTGCCAGGCGGCGTATAACCAGTCGTGTACGGGGAAGCCCAGGTTGTCCTTGTTGAGTTTGATAAGTGCGGTACACAGGTCGGCTCCTTTGTTCAGACCCTGGGCGAAGGTGTCGGCCTGGAACTCAAACCTGCGGCTCAGCACTGTCATGAGGAAGGATAGCAGCTGGGAAAAACAGGAACGTATGTTTTAGTACAGAGGTTCCTGTGGACATTTGTGTTATCTACTAGCCTTAGACTGGCCTGGAGCTGGCCACTTACTTTCATCTGGTAAGTTCCTCCATGTTGCAGGGTCCAAGGCCCTAGACTCTGCTACCCTTAAACCTACCTGCTACCTTCAAGTCCTGCCTCATTTGCTTGTTTAATATGGTGTACTTTTTGGAAATGGCACCAATAATAAACAGGACACAAAGCAAAGCATACTGAAGAGGCATCTAACTGAACTTCTACTAGAAGAAACTAGTTGAAGCTACCCAATAAGGAATAAGCGACAAGTTTTATACAGAACAGTTCTTACAACTTGGGAGATGTACATACCAGGTAAGCAAAGATTTAACATTACATCTTACTTCTTCATGTCTCTGAAGATAGTGTGTCATACCAGCTGACTGACAGGTACAGACAAATACTCACCTCGTTATAAGGAGAGAAGATGAACTGGAAGATGACCAGCAGGCCGATGAGGGCAGGCTGGGAGTCGGGGAAGCCGAAGGCCTCGTACAGCTCCTTCCAGTTACTCAGCAGGGCAAATAGGAAGAAACACAGGAACGTGTTCACCTGGAACATAGGGAAACCTGCAAAGCACTGGAACAAGGGCAAAGCAGCTCCTGGCCTAGTGTGTGTTACACAATCTCTCATTGTCAAGGGCTGATTGGGTCTCCTCCCATCTATGAGCCTGATCATTGGGATGCTAGAAGTGTAAGCTACCCAGGCTAGTCATCAAACGTGTTTACAAGGAACATATGAATGTCATGTACTTTGAAATTGTCACACTGAGAAACACTAGTACTGTACTAGTCTTGTATGCATACTGCACACGAAATTATAGCTCCACTGGCTTGACATTTCCAATGAACTTCCATGCTGCCCATTTGACCCATGTATCTTTGATGCCCTCTGGAGTGTGTTTTTACATACCTGGCTAATGATGATGTTTTTGAGGTTGTGGCCCAGTTTCCAGTGGCCCAGCTCGTGGCCCAGTACAGCCAGGATCTCATCATTGCTGCAGCCGATCTTCTTCTTCTTCTCCTCCCCCTTAGCATCTCCCTCTCCCTGGTTAAGGAGTATGGCATGACATATATAGTCAGTCAAGATGTAGTAACAAAAAGGAGGTACATGTACTATATAAATGGTTCTGAAGATGATCATGCTCTGAGATTCACACATCTATACTCATTATCTGTTAGGATTTGTTTACATCTACTGCAGTACATCCAAGAACGAGCCTGCAAGACCCCACCATGCTTATCAACACCAGACAAAGTCAGTGTGGAGTAGCTCAAACTAAATCAGAACAGATTCACCAGAATCTCCAGATTGTGCAGTTTGTACTAACCCTAAGCACAAAACAAACTGTGTAAAACACCACCTTCTGTTCTGGTTCGCTGGCTGTGTCTGAGCTGTCCTCTGATGAGGCATTCCCAGCATCCTCTCCTGCTGCAGCCTCCTTATTTACAGGATTTTCCTCCAGCAGGGTGTCAAACAACACGATCCTCTTGTTCTTGTAGAAGCCAAAGAAGTAGGCATTGCTGTGGGAGGAGCGCTTGGAACCTGCCGGTCAAATGTTAGTATTCCCAGTAAATACATTCAAGTGCATGTATACAAAGTTACTTAATGACTATGACATAATTTACCATCTACAATGTTGGCTGGCTGAAAAACACTTGTTTAGTGCTCACATCAGAAATCTTGACAAAGGCATCTGATTTGTGTAAACTAAATACAATTATCATTGTTATTTCATTATGGTAACATTTATTACAACAGTATAAAAGGATAAGGGTATGTAGATCTAGAATTTGCTCTGCTGCCTGATAAAAGATAAAAATGACCAATGTTAAGTGAAATATAAACAACAATACCTGTTACCTTCTACAACAAAGATCTTATAGAGAGGAAACTCGATGCTAGCTGCTAGTGTCTCTATCTGTGTCCGCAGGTCTCCTTCAGGGAGGGGGGTGAAACGGTCAAACAGAGGAGCAATGTAGTCTGCATAGATGAAGATCAGACCCTGGTAGAAAAAAAAATGATTTTAGACACTATTTATTGATCTTATGATAACCATAATTTAAAGACCTTGCAACCATGTTGGCAAGTGGATTACATCTAAGCAGCATCAAATGAATGTATTCTGCATCCCGTCATTAACAACTGACAGCTCAGCTGCTAAGCTGAGGAACGGGGCTTGGGCACCAAAAAAAAAAAAGAAAAAGAATGTTGGCGTGTTTGACAGGCATATACTGTACAAGTCCAAGTGCAAGTGATGTCCCAAAAAAATCCTGACGTGTGTGTATACAACTCTAAATTAAAAAAGGGTATAAGGTCTATGTTGAGTGTTATAGCTCCAGGGAAAGATGCTCTAGTCTCTCACCATGGTAACGACAAATGTGAAGAGCCAGGCGTAGATGAAGAAGTAGTCTCCTCCTGCCTTGATGATGTACAGCAGACCTGCTGCCACGGGGAGGGAGATCAGCTGGGTCACTACAAACTTCTTAGCAAGGTCCTTGAAGTAGAACCCAAGGGTCTGGTGGGGAGAAAAAAATTTTTTAATGTTTTCTTGAAGGTCTGTATTTGTATCGGTATAGCCAGTATAACTGCCTTTGGCATAACACACCAGCTTCAAAGGCACGTGGCGTGGGGGCAGCTGGCTATGTCACACTAAATGACTTGTTACACTCAATCTTTGCATATTTAATTGCAGGAGTTGTTTGAAGCTTTCTAGTGATGATGCCCCAACTGCGCTTGGTGGCAACGAGTTCCACCAAGGTGCTGAACACAGCAAATACATGTATAACATTTTTCTCAGAAAACATCACAAACAAACAAAGGAACTGTTCAACAAATAAACAGACAAAATCTGACCTGTTTGTTGAAGCCATGTCTATCTTCTATCACAAATGTGGAGTATAAGCCCCAGGGAAGGCCTGTCACAGTACTAAACACAGTACCCAACAGTACAAACATTACAGACTGCAAAATCTGAAGAGAAAGAACATCACAACATCACATTAGTTATCAACTGGATCATCAACAGCTCACTCACTATAGAAACAATTGTTTTGCTGTCTTGTATCTAATACATAAAAGATCAAGATGTATTTTTACTTGGGGGAAAGCGCTTTGAGATCAACATCTAAATTGGTTACCTTAAATGTTGAAATTCATTTTCTGGCTTTTAAAGACAACATGTTGAATTTCAGATACCCAAACTTGATCTTCAAATACTGTTAAGTGCTCACTTCCTGCTATATCATTGACCCTATGAATATTCAAAATAGAACAAAGGTAGGGAAGATACTAGTATTTAACTGAAGTTAAAAGTCTTCTTCCAGCTACAAATACTAGTAGTAATACAAACCTCATACTCAGGCCCATAGCCGAAGTACCCAGTTACATCCCCAGACTTTCTCCACAGGAAGGGGATCCCACCCAGAAGTAAGATAACCTGCAAGGAACAACACCTATTACATATCAATCATAATGGTACAGAGTATAAACTCACCAGGTTGAACATTGATATAAGGTATGAATTTTGATGAGGATTCAGTATTATTGGTAAAGACATAAAAATAAAGCATTTTGTTAATAAAAAGCACTAATATAGCCCAGAATCCTGATGACAGGACAGCATAATGATATGACAATCTGATGAAAATGCAGCATTTGACAAAAAAAAACAATGACAGCACTTTCAATTGATTTGTCTCAACTCACAGTCATCTCCAGTTGTGAGTACAGGCCTGCCCAGAAACTGAAGCCATTTTTGTCCAGCTGATACAGCCGCGCCTTCTCGAAGGTGTCGTGTTCCAGAACCGACCGGAGCTCCCAGGGGATGTCCCGCGTCGTCTTGTAAACTCCACGCTGAGGGCATGACAATATTCATGTTATCTTATGTATGACCATGTGTAACACAAGCGCCTCTCCAATCCAGTGGGTCCAGACCTTTTGGAGTAGTGGTTAGCACGCTAGTGTCGCAAGCTGGCTGCCATGGTTCGGCGCGGCATCCAAGGAGTAAGGGGTTTTCTCCTATTTGTTTCATATGAATGTGTGAGGACTTATGTTTATTGATAGGACTACAATGTACATGTTCAGAACTTAAATCATGTACCCTGTATCTTGTTAAAGCACAATCCTTGGTACTGTCCTTAGTACTAGTACTTGATTCTCTCAACAACCGTCTATGTCCTTGGTACTGAAGCCATCTAAGTAACATTTTGTGCCCCCATCTCTTTAAGTAATCATAACATTTTGTGAATTCCCTTCCCCACCCTCTTGAGTAATGGGAAAGATTGTGGCCCTGACCTTGCCTTGTGAACCTCATCACGAGTGGAATTACAGAGTGGGACAGGCAGGATACACTAGTTCTGCTTTTGGGGTGCCGGTATACGCGCCGGTAAAACCACCATATGGTTTATCAATTTGAGTAACTGTAAGCCATTGATGCACATTAGCTTTACGGACACATACATGTTACAGCTTTATCTGTATTACAGCAACGGTTGTACAGAACTAGAAATGGAGGAGGCTCCTAATGTAGAATACTGTCTGGAAATTACACAATCGATTTATGGCCTGGTAGCTGGGCCGGTCTGGGAGCCGCCCCCCTCCCCAATCCGGCCGGTTGCTACAGTCTCACCTGTCTGAAGGATAAGTAGTTCTCCCACAGGTAAACAACCCAGAAGAACAGAAGGACGGCCGTCACAAGGTCAAGGCCGGCCACAACCTCCATCTCAGCTCCTTCTGACTACGAGAAAATACTGCTAAGGACTTGGTAACGAACTATGCACGACCAAGCGGGCTGGAATAGTAGATTTCATTTATGGGGGACTATAGAGTATTTCACTTACAAAAAAAGTTTACTATTTCGCTGTTATATCCACTTTGAAGTGACGATTTAAATCAACTGTATACTTCAAAGTTTTACAAATCTATACTATCATCACATGTTTCATGTTTCTTTATGTGTTTTAAATCTATAAATTATCAATCCAACCGCTCCTATTCAAGATGTAATCTTCCAGTAACCTTTCAACCCTAAACAACGTTTGGTTCGCGTTTTCCTTGTTTTCTTACGGTGCCGACTGCTAACATTCCAATATTAGGCCGATTTCAGGGTTTTTACGAAGTCTTTTGGTGACAGTTCAATTCTTCCCTTCTCAAAGCTAAGTTTAGAAGGCGAAAATGTTTTCCATGATGAAGATTTTGTCTCTTACGTTAGCTATTTGTTGACATCTGTTGGTGTAAATTAGGTTTACCGAAGCCATAGTTGACGTTTCACCAGGTGTTTACCCAAACAACAGCTAACGTTACAGGTAAGTGTTTTTCCTGAATGCACGGTAAGTTTTAAATGACAATCCACTGGCATTTCTATATACCTATCGGTAACTGCCTATCTATATTTCACCAGCTAGTTTGTTACGCAAAAGGGCGGTTATACCGGCTATACTGATACAGTATTTATGACCAAGGAGGTTTAAACCTCCTTGTTATGACCGACTCCTGTTTGTTTATCATTCATGAACTCTTTGGAAATCAGCCCTATTCTGTTAAAGGACCACTACATTTATCCAAGAGTGGTGAATAAATAAATAAGACTGTCAAATGTTTTTTTTTTTTAGGTATACATCAAAATTAATTTAGATTCTGTATGGACAGAAAGTGTCATTGCTACCTTTATGTAACAGTGGGGTTCAAGCACTGCTAACTGATCCATTCCAATGGGTCCGGACCTCTTGGCATAGCGGTTAGTGTGCTGGTGTCGTAAGCTGGCCGCCTAGTTTTGGTGTGGGTTCGATTTGAGTCCTGGGAGTCAAGAGTTATCCTGTTTCTATTTGCTCCTATTTGTTTCAGGTGTTCCAACCCATAGTGTAAATATGGCCTTCGCTGCTCCCATCTTCAACGTGTCGTTTGGGGTGAACCAGACGTTCCTGACGAAGGCTCTGGAGGAGGGTCAGTACGAGCATGCCAAGAAACTCATCATCGAGAACCAGACCGCATCGTACCTGGACGAGGGCTTCTACCAACGCACACCCCTCTTCATTGTGCTGAGTGGTTTCAACCAGTTCAACGGCATGGCCATTCCCAGGAACTTGGAGCTGGCGCGGCTGCTCATAGTGCAAGGTGCCAACCCCTCACATCGGGTGCCAAATGTACGTATTTCTCCATTTTTTTTTTTTTCACATCCTTTTCACCTAACCTTCTAACAACCAATAGAGCAGCTAAACTACAAAGAGATGAATGAAAATTAAATTTACGACATTACAGCTATATTAACATTACAGCATAACATTTTGGCACCTTGATCTACAGAGTACAATGATTTCTGTTGAGGTGGTAAGGGAAATTCTAGCTTATGAAAAGCTTTTGCTTGCATTTGTCGCCCATTTAATGTATACCAATGTCCTGTTTGCTTCCCAGACCTTAGGTTCAGAGTTCTTGGGTCCAGGAGAGGCGCCGTTACAACTAGCAGTCGACTACTTCAACGATCTATCGGAGGTTCCGTATCCCCGGGCAAAGGTTCTTTCAGCGACAGACGTGATTGGTCTGAACGGAGAGGTTGGCATGACAACAGAGGAGTGTCTGGAACAGCTGGTGACGCTAACCTGGCTGCTGCTAGGTTTGTTTGTTTGTTTGTATAGAAGCCTTCTGTGAGAGATGACTTTATTTTTTATTGATTTGAATTGATGTACTGATGTCATGTTGTATCTGATTTCTGAGAGTTGACCTTAATCAGAAAGATATCCATTGCTTATTATTCAATATCATGTCCTACTGTCAAAGCCTGAGCCTTTATTGTTTTTTGATCAATTGATTGATTCATTCTGAGGTGTAGGCCATAACATGTGGGACAGGCATTATTGGTTATAGATGAATTGATCAATTTTGATTGCTCCAGGCCGTGGAGCAGACCCCAATGTCAGAGACAGCCAAAACAAGACTCCGCTCCACAAGACCATGGTGTCCTCGGTCGACCTCCGCATGGCCCAGTGTCTCCTCGACAACGGGTCTGACATAAACGCGGTGGACGGTTTCGGAGACACGCCGCTGATCTCTGCGTGCACCGCCTTCCCGTTCGGACTGGACGATATGTGCGATGACAACCCGTTGGCGGGCGTCGCCTGGATACAGCAGGGTGTGACCAGGAGGAGTCATGTGACCTTTCTTCTCAACCAACCAGGACTACAGGTAACCTGCACTGCACTGTTTTAGTCATGTGGACAAAATGTATGTAATTTTTATGTTTACAGTCAAAACTGTCCAAGAAAAGCACCAGGGAGACCAAGATAATCTAGTCTATGTAGACAGGTAGTCGCTATAATAGTGATTCTTATTGCTTGAATGTGTCAATGGGAAAAACAATTTGAGGGCCCACCAAAAGTGGTCATATTGGTCATGTGGTCCTTATGAAGTGGTGGTCCCTTGTACAGGCATAACTGTAAAAATTTGCCTTGATTTCTACTTACATGTAGTATATTAAGTAGTGTAAGTAGTATGTACAAACAAACAGGTTTTTGCTGCACTTCCCTCCCATTTGGCTAGGTGGACATCCAGAACCGGCAGGACCACACGGCGCTGTTTGAGTGCATGTCGCAGGGCGACACGACGACTGCACTGCAGCTGTTACAGCACGGAGCCAGCCCCAGCCTCGAGGGCAGGGTCAACGACCCCAGCACAGGGATGCCTGTGTACGTTTGGACAAAAATATATTCAATACATGGTGGAACACTAGGCAGCAAATATATATTTCCATTTGCATGTGCCATCCTATTTCTATACTTGTTCCCATACCTACCCTACCTGGCCCCTTACAGAGCATACTTTTATACAACTAGGACGGCACTTAGGCTAAAAAATCATAAGAAGACTTACTAATGTCAACCCACAAGGGGCCTACATAGATTGTGTTTAACATTAACTTGCAAATGATATGTAAATTTATATTCTGTACCAAGATTTGCAATGATGGTTGCGTACAAGGCACTAACAAGTACATGTAAATGCTGTAAAAAAGATTGGTCCCAAAGCTCTCACATGTTGGTGTGGGTGTAATGTCAATAATGAAGAGTTTACAGTGTTGCCTCTTGCTTGTGTCTGTAGCTATGTCAGCCCCCTCCTGGCCAGCCTGATGTCCCCCCGTCTGGTGAACTGTGACTGGCAGGACAGGAGTTACCAGTTCCTCGCACATCTCGTGGACCAGGGTAGGTTATGGGGTGCCCTTGGGCCATCCTAGTTGATTATACTACTCATATAGACTTAATAGGATGGCATCACTGATGTCCCCATTCAAGGTTCAAGGATGGAATCCAAGATAGGTTATAGGCAGTGTTAGAAGTGCCATAACATTCATTGGTTACTTTGAATTGGGGGCTAATGTTTTAAGAACATGTGAATAGGGATGTAGATATATGCATGTTTCTTTTAAATATTGTAACATGTTTATGTCTGTGATGCATGCAGTTATAGAGATATTGTTTGTTTGTTTTGAGAGTCCAAGTACTAGTGACTTTCATCTTCTTTAAGTGTCAGATGCTACCTTGTTACTAGTGTATTTCTGAATCATAACTGACAGATGCTACCTTGTTGCAGGCTACTTCAGCACCCCGGAGATCGCCAATGAGCTGATCCAGTGGCTTGGGGAAGAGTCCATGCCATCCTCGGACCTGACCCACCTCCAGAGCCTGGGTTCCAGGTTAGTGCACGCCGTCTTTGGCGGCACCACCAACAAACTGTCCCAGCTCTGCGCCCGGCAGATCTTCCAAGCAGCCTTCCTCAGCCACCTCTCCTTGGACGCTTGTAGAGACGTCTTCCAAGGGACGACCGTTTTCCATGACAAGACTTCTCAGGACTTCTGCGAAGGCTTGACGAGGATATCCACCGACCAGCTGCTGAAGCTGATCAGTGACTTGCACCTTCCTCGGGACTCGCTGCAGTGTTTTGAGGTGGAGCTGTTTAAGCACAGATTGTGTGCGAGGTTCCTGATGTACGAGTGGTGGGAGGGACGGAGGTGTGTGTCGGATGATGAGGATGAAGGAGACTCAGACCTAGAGTACTGGTAAAGTTGGGGGCAGAAAAGCTAGCCTGAATGTCAGCTTTCATCCGATCCCCACAATCTGCTTTTTGGCTGGTAGCGGATTGTGGGGAGCGGACGAAACTAAAAAGGCTGACATTCAGGCTACAGAAAAGCAGCATTTCCACAATCATTTTAGCATCATAGTATGTATATTTACAGAAGCCATTACTAAGAAGCATTTCAAGAGAGCAGGATTTTGACATCTGTATATTTTATCCCCAAAGATAATTACATGTAACGTTACTCTTTTTCTTAGTTTTATCATGAATTTTGTCAATCCAAGTAAGCCACATATTACAGATTGCATAAGTTTGAATTTGAGGATTTTGCAGTTGAGTAAGTTAGGTTTTATCCATCGGAACTCTTAGATGCTTTGCAGGTCTGTATTCTCAGCCTTATATGTATATTGGCATCCACATACATTGTACATGCAAATATTTACTATCAAAAGAGTATAATTTGTATCGTATTATAAGACGTCAGAATGAAAATTTTGTGTAGAAGCACATGTTGAAAATGGAGTTTGTACCCCCTACTATGTACTATTGATCCCCATAGACATTGTATTTATCATTAACGTAATTGTGTAAATATTCAGCAAAACTATAAAAAGACTTTGTTACATGTTGTGTAATTGTACCAGTGAAGGGACTTGATACCATTATATCCATACACTGATGTTTTGTCGACTGTGTGACATTTACAATAAACTCGGTCCACACTTTCTAACTGTGGCTTTCATCACCTGAGTGTCTGAATTGAGTTTAAAACACCTCCCAACTTCCAGACATAGTGGGCAAAAAGTGGATATTTCTCTGATATGAAGAGCAGTGAACTCTCCAAAGTGTTGTTCAACTCATTTGCAAGTGTCTCGTCAATGGATTGTTTTCTACAATCATTTAGGTTGTATAATATCTGCTCGAAAGTCCAAAACATGTAGTACACATTCTCATAGAGGACAGGATCTAGGGATGAAGTCTTCACTGTCCTTAGAGTGTCAGAAAAGTCTTTGATGTTTTGAAGTAGTGTCTCCAGGATGAGTTTTTGGAGTGCTTCAGCTTCTGACAGGTCCACAATAAGTCTGCATTGGTTTTCTTGATGCTGATGCTGAAATAAAGGACACAGGAACATCAACATTAATCTGTACCTGTACTTGTTAACTGGTATAATCCGCTCGCCTCAAATGTTAACTACCAGACTGGGTATACAGAGAAAAGGATAATGTGAATAATAGGCCCTCAAGATATCTGCTGAGCCACTGTTTTACCTCAGTGAGTCTATCTGACATCGCATATTTCCCTCACATATTGAATAAAGTATGAATGGGATCGGGTTGATTTAACTTACTCCATCAAAAAGTAGAAACTTCACTTTGAAAAGTCAGTTTTACTGCTCTGAAATATGCCTTTAATTTAAAGGCTCTTAATTAAAAAAAACTCTACCACTAACCCTGTTGAGGTCCTCACATCTGAGCACCCCTGTGAGGATGGTTTGTACCAAGTCCATCACAGACCGGACAATCTCCTCACTAAACTCCTTCAACTCTTCACGTCCAAGCACCTCCACGATTGTCTTGACGACATGCTTCTTGGTTGCCATGGAGACATCAGGAACCTTCTCCTCGACGGACACTTTGAGGAGGTGTAAGGAGTCGAGGATGCTGTCCTTCACCGTCTCCTCCAGATTTACCCTCCCTGCCAAGGAGTTTCTCACAGTCTGCGAGAAGGTACAAGGATTGAAGGACTGTGAAAAAAAAATCTCATTGTGGCTTTATCCAGACCGTGGCTCTAGCCAGCTCAATTTTTTTTCTCTCAGTCCAGGTTCAGACCTAGGGGGCCAGAGAGTGCTTGCATCTAGTGGGGTTTGGAGACAAATTTTGTTTTCAAGCCTTTAAAAATGCAATTTTGAGAGACAAATCATGGGATTGAGAGTGGTTGTTGGTGGTCCTTTGCATGTTCTTATATTTTTACCCAACATTTTTGTCAGCTTGCTGCTTTGTCCACCAAGGTTAATGGATTGGTTTAAAAAATTTTCCATCACGCATCACAAAGTTCCTGATGGAAAAATGGATGCTGGCTGAGCCCTGATCCAGACAAGTACCTTACGATAAACTCTTTTCCCACCAGAAGTAACAAAAAAGGTAAGCGATATTCCATGCACACACCTGCAGCCTGAGCACACAGGACAGAAACCTTGAGTGTCTCTGCACCACATCTTCCCTGGACACCTGAGGAGATGATGGTTGCTCTGAAGATGAAGGAGGAGTTGGGAACACCTGTTCAGGCTTGTCTTCATCTCCTTCTGCAGGTGAGATTAACCTGTCAAATTGTGTCTACCAATCTAAAGAGGGCCTGCAAGGGGAGGGGGTAGTGATTACGAATTACGCAAAATTTTTGCCGCCTATTACGAATTACGTTAAAGTTTCTGAGCTGATTACGACTGTACAATTTGCGGCTAATGTCCAATTACGAATTACGTTGATTTTTGCGGAGGCTGCCTACGAATTACGAAGTCTAAAACGGCCTGATTATGCCTTACGAAAAAGGGCTTGCAGGCCCTCTCTAAATACTGACCAATCACAGCAGGAATCATTCTGTCAATCAAACCAAACAAAATGAACTGACCAATCACAGCAGCCTGTATTCTGTCAATCAAACCAAACAAATTGAACTGACCAATCACAGCAGCCTGCTGCAGGAATCATTCTGTCAATCAAATCAACCAAAATCAACTGACCAATCACAGCATCCTGCAACAGGAATCATTCTGTCAATCAAACCAAACAAATTGTACTGACCAATCACAGGAAGCATTTACCTGCAGGCTGAGGTTGTTGCTGCAGCAGTTTAGCCTGCAGCAGTTCCTGCCTGGTCTGCAGCAGATGGCTCTGTAGAAGCTTGGCTCGCTTCTTCCAGTCCCCCTGATGAAGAAATTTAATACTTTATGGATTGATTGTTCCAAAATGATACAAAATTGCAAAATACTGCATGTACTGTGCTCCAGGTACTGTGTGTGCTGTACATACCTTTTAGTTATCAATCAAGGATTGAGGTGTTTAAAAATTCATTCTTTCCTATAACTATCACAGAGTGGAACTCACTGTCACCACTAGTACAGTATTAAAGGGCATTATCAATTAGATACCTTTGAACAATGTTTAGAGTTAGATGATCAAGGGTTAGGTGTAACATGTCATTCGGTGTAATGTAGCCAGCTGCCACCGCGCCGCATGCCTGCAAAGCTGGTGTGTTATCTAGGTTATATCAGCTATACAGATATGTCAGTGAGTTATACTAAGTACATAACATAGATACAGATACATTTTATACCTGGTTAGCCTGGTACTTGTGCTGTAGGTACTGTGTGTACTGCTGGCCTGTCATGCCTGGTGGTTTGGTTCTGAGGATGGCGACAGCAGCAGCGAGCTTCACCATTCTCACATAGTCCGGGTTACAGGGTGGGAGGACGGTTCCTTTGGGGAAGGAGAGAATGGAAGGGAGAGTTTTGTTGCAAAAGGCACTCTCAAGTTTACAGAACATCCTTGGCATATCAATAGAGTAGTCTACAACTATTGACATCTGGATGTATTAAATCACGGACTCTACTGTATATCATTTACATTCACGGTGGTTTAGTTTCGCAGTACATTGTATGAGGCGAAAGAATCTTGGTAATGGTAGCTATTAAAATAGGTTTGGTATTACGCGGCTACTTCAGTTGTTGATCTAGCACGTGCAACTTGGCTAGTGGCACTAGCCAAGTTGCACGTGCTAGATCAACAACTGTGGGGGCCGGGGGAGGGCAACTCACCTTCATCTGCAGTTTCTCTTTGCTTGTCTCCACTTCTTTGCTGGTCCATGGTCTGTATAGGCACAACCGCACAACCTAATCAATCAATGTATCCTAAACCTTTATATGTGCTCCAGATTACTTGCAACTGCAGCGCATCTTGGGCTGCACTACCAGCAACTCAAACCTTGGCGCCATGTGATGAAACCTTCCCGTCATGCACCTGCGCATATTGCTCAACTCGGTGACCTTTGACCCGCCATCATGGCGGACGCGACGCGTTTTGCACGTGGATGTCGGCTTTAAATTTGTTTTTATTCACTTCAGCTGCCCGGTTGTAGCTAAATTTCCCTTTTCTGTGCGTCTAGTCTAGGAAAATAACCTATCCATGCAGTTAACCGAGTATATAAGGACGATAAACTATGGATAAGATAGAAATCGACCTTAGAAGCTGCCTGGGAGACTTGCAGCGTGAAGGGGGAAAGTGTGAACAAGTCGCCGCCAAGTTACTCAAGGAGGTTTGCTCGTCGTTCTTTGTGTTTGCCTTTTTTCTGCTTTAGCCCCCACCAACCATTGCTAACGGGTTAAGTCTCGGGTAAGGGTAAATGAACTCTATGGGGGAAGGGGGAAGAGTTGTGGAAGGGTACGAGCTCGCTCGAGTGGGGTACATGTATGGGGTAGAGTTTGGGAAGGCTACGAGTGGGGTATGGGGAAGAGTTGAGGAAGGGTACAAGTGGGGTTTGGGTTTTAATAGATTTGCGGAAGGCTATGCAGAAACCCACAGAAAAGGGACATTTCATTGTTTCTCCCCAGGGTTCCTCCACACAGACTGTTCTGTCCTCGCTGTCGAAGCTCGTACTCGACCCCGAGGTTTCCCTCGCGGTGGCGCGATGTTTCCGCCCAGTGTTGCTGGAGTTGTTGGAGAGAGCGGCGGCCACAGTCAGAGCTGGAGCGGACGTCCCCCTACTGCACCATGAGAAGCTGTGTGCAGCCGTCGCCAGGTTAACTCTGCTGTATCCTGATGTACTCAGGTGAGATTAAACAATTCTGACAAATATTTACACCAAAACACACAACTAAAGTTCAGCTACACTGGGGAGCTTTCGAGACGCACTCTGTCTCATCTTCAACCCGGTTAAAATCTCGTCTTGGAGTTCTCTTGTCACGTGACTTGATGGGATAATCACGTGACAAGAGACAGGTGTAACTTTGAGATTAAACAATTGTAACAGTGGGGTTCAAGCGCCGCTAACTGATCCATTCCAACGGGTCTGGACCTGTTGGAGTAGTCGTTAGTGCGTTGGTGTCGTGAGCTGGCTGCTCGGGTTTGGTGCGGGTTTGATTCCCGGCATCCAGGGGTTTTCCTGTTTCTACTACTAATGCCCCTGTTTCACCACTGGTTCTCACGCTGGGAATCGAACCTGGACCTTGGGAGTGAGATCACCAAATCCTAACCACTATACCCTCGCTCCTGTTTGTGTCACAAGCAGCACTTGGAATGGGCAATGACTATGCAATGTCTGTTTATCATGACTGAGTCTGACTGTCCTGTCAGTAGTAAAAAAATTCTTTTTGATAGGCAGCACATGTGTTTATTCATTCAACCACTTTTTCAGATTTACTGAGCGGTACTTCAGCTGGGCCCCACCACCCTTCCAAAGACTGGCAAACCAAGCCGAGGAGGGAGAGCCGGCCAGGAAAAAGAAAAAGGTGACCCACATGTCTTTCTCTTGATGTGTTTCATCTATTGACTCTTATCAGGCATTTAGCTATCTCCAGAGCAATGTTGAAAATACACAAATAATAGACCATGCTTTGCTCATGGAGTGTACTAGTATCTTTTTCTTAACGTACATAATATTATACAACTGTACTAATTTTAGATATTCTAGTTCCAGTGATTCTTTTTCAGACTCCCATGGCCATTCCAAGGTTGACCAGTGCTGTTTGTATAATATTTGCTATGTGTAAAATTGTCTGTTTGCCTGCATTTGATCACCAGATAAAATAAAAAGAAAAAACTAAATAAAATTGCAAGAAATCATACCATAAGATGAATACTCTTACTTTTACTACACAGATCATTGTATGTTGACCCTCTAATAAGACAGAATTATATTTCGATCCTTTCCAGCGATCCTCCCAGGGACAAGAGGAGGGATTTGCAGATATCTGTAAGACGTGTTTCCTCCTACTTCGGTCAGACCCAGAAGTCTTCTCAGCCAGGTGGGACTGGGGCGTGGTCCTGTCGTTGTTAGGCAACAAACACTTGGAGACCAGATGGTATGTCAAAGTTCATACACATATTATGATTATGAGAAACGACATAGTACAAACTGCAGCAACATTTTTTTTGTTTGAGTCTTTGTTTATACATGAAATAGTAAAAGCTAGATGCAGGTCAAGTCATTTTTCATCGCTATTTTTCCCCAGGTGGGCAGCCCAGTGTACTATCCTGGCCCTTTCCCTGACAGAAGCACAGAAAGTCGACCTGCTGAATCAGCATTTCACCCCCCAGCAACAAATCCAGTTGACCCTACAGACAGACCGTCTCACTGATGTGTCCCATGAGCAGGGAAAGCTGATGACCGCAGCTGGACATGTGGAAATGTCCGATGAGTTCCTGGTGCCAAAACAGACCACAGTAGTCACTGCTGATCTGAGCGAATCTGTGGTGTCTGTTTGTGGAGTTTTGCTGCCTAAAAGACCAGGCTGTAAAGAAAAAGTAAGCCTTGTCTTTTTTCTTCCAATAGACATGTTATATCAGTGTTATATTAGAGAGAGAGAGAGATAGGGGGAAGGGGAGAGGAAAAAAGAGAGGAGACAGAGAGAATATAGCATTATGATATAACCTTGGCCACACAAAATACTAGCAACTCTAGTTCTGGTGAGATAGCCCACAAAATGAATGTCAAATATACACAAGTTTATCTGTATCTGTATTGGTATAGCCAGACTGAGTATAACCGCCATTCAGCAAAACACACTCAGCTTTGCAGGCACGCAGTGCAACGGCAGCTAGCTATATCACACTGAACAACTTATTATACTCAATCTTTGCACATTTCATTGCCGGAGTTGTTTAAGCTTGCTAGTGATGATGCCCCAACTGTGCTTGGTAGCAAACAAGTAATAAAAAGAAACTTAACAATTAAACATTAACAAAAATCCTCCCCTCCCAGGAAGTGCCTGAGACTCTGGTTCCTGTCCCCTCCACGCTCCGTAACCTGCACTGTCTGGCCATGGCCGTGCTATCCCAGAAAGCCGTGCTGCTGGAAGGGCCTGTTGGCTGTGGGAAGACTGCTCTGGTCGAACACCTGGCAAACATCACAGGTGAGTTTAGTCTTAACTTTTAGTTTGACTTGTGTCAATATAAACACCTGGCAGCTCTTGTACATGTAGATTTAGTCTTCATATATTTCTAACCTCAATGTAAGTCAGCCAGAGCACCTTAAGGACTCAAAAACGTTATGATTTTTTTGAGGTGGGGGTTTTGAAGTCTTCTTTTTACTGCAGTGTTAAAATCTTTCCAGTATCTCTTGAACATGTATAAACAGGACAGTACATCATCAAACCTAAGAAATCTGTACAACCTTTAACTCTTTGTCCAAAACTGATTCTAAACTGATTCTAACTGTCTCTACATCTATCTCCCATTGCTGCTCCAGGTCACAGCGGCGCCCCCTACTTGCTGAAGGTGCAGCTGGGTGACCAGACAGACAGCAAGGCCCTGCTGGGCACGTACAGATGCACGGACGTCCCCGGGGAGTTTGTCTGGCAGCCAGGCGTGCTGACACAAGCCGTCGCCCACGGCAACTGGATCCTGCTGGAGGACATCGACTATGCTCCGATGGACGTCATCTCCATCCTCGTCCCTCTGTTGGAGTCTAGAAAGTTGAGCATTCCTGGCCACGGAGAAACTGTGCGCTGTGCCCCTGGCTTTCAACTCTTCGCTTCTCAGCAGCTTTTGTCAAGTGCCACAGGTAGGTGTCACTACTAGGTGTCAATGCATAGTTTACAGTGACACCTAGCTTCGATACATAATAAACCAGAACAGTGAACCAGTAACACCTAGCTTTATCTGTGTACAGTGAACCAGTCATAATTTCCCTGATGAAGATGACAGATGGTTATCGTAACTTTGGCACTTATTAAACAAGTGGTATTGAAGAAAAAAACTTACTATCCTGCCAGAGGTAAAGTTTGATGTTGCTTTTATCAATTGGACATTGATATTCCTTCTGTTATATCCCAGGGCTCAAAATACATTTTCTTTTTATTTACTTGACCTTACTTTTCACAGGTTACTTCAAACAGCATTCATCAAATTCATCCCTGCTGGATCGATTGTGGACCCGGATTTGTGTCGAGCCACTCTCACGAGAAGAGCTGCAGAAGGTACTGGTTGCAAAGTATCCGAACTTGTCTGGCATCGCAGAGAAACTGTTGGATGTGTACTGCATGCTGTCATCTGGTAGACATGACATGACAGTTGCAAAGGAGGATGGGATGGACTTCAGTCCAGCCCCAGAGGATTCAGGGATGGTCCCAGCCACAAGTTTTTCATCTGTGGACGGTCGACTGATCTCTACACGGGACTTGCTGAAGTGGTGCGATCGGATCGAGGCAGATTTCCGAGACACTTCCCTTGGGCAAGCCTCGAGTGTGTTTCAGGAATCTCTGGACTGCTTCTGCACTAGTCTAGCCAAACCAGCACAGCGGCTGCGCATGTCTGAAGTCATAGGAGCCAGGCTGAACATCAGCAGGGAGAAAGCTGTGTTCTACAGTGCCAAATACAAACCCAACATTGACATCAACTCCTCGGCAATGACTGTAGGCAGGGCTACGATCCCACGTAAGCTCAGCGATGTAGCAATGATGCACATAGGAGGCAGCGCTTGCTTTGCGCACACGAGGCACGCAGTGTCGCTGTTGGAACGTGTTGCGGTGTGCGTACAGAGGGGGGAACCAGTGCTGCTGGTGGGAGAAACCGGTACTGGCAAGACCTCCTCAGTGCAGTACCTGTCCACACAAACTGGTCACACTCTCAAGGTTGGTTTTTGTTTATTTGCATCTTTGTTTATTTATGGTATACTCCAGTTGGCCTGCTGGCTGCTTTTTGTTGAGGGAAAGGTCAAGGTCAGACAAAGTATAAGTTACAGGTTACATGATTGAAGTCCGGACAAATCCATAAACATTATAATTTTTATTTATTGGTCATCATAAATCCATAGACATACATATATATATAAGATCCTTAAATTTACTTATATTGGATAAATGATCATACACTCAATGTGAATGAATGAACAATGATAACTCAGTTACCAAACTTTCCTTCATAGTACGTTATGTCAAAAAGTGTAATTATGGGAGGTTAAGTTTTCACAGAAGGAATTGAGAAGTACATTGTAAAGTAACAGGTTGTGTTTTTCGTCCCTACAGGTGGTGAACATGAACCAGCAGAGTGACAGTACTGACCTGCTGGGCGGGTTCAAACCGGTTGACGTGCGGCTGCTGGTCATGCCGGTTAGGGAGGAGTTTGAGGCGGTTTTCTGTCAGACGTTCTCGAGGAACCAGAACACCCAGTTCCTGGGGCACGTCGCCGACTGCTTCACGAAGCGGCGCTGGCAGGACCTGCTGAAACTCATGCTCCACTGTCAGAAGATGGGCATGAAGAGGCTCGGGGAACCACAAGAAGGTAGTTTTTTTTTAAAGATTTTCAATTTGATGATTTGCTTTGGCTTAATTGTTGGTTCTGATACGAAGTTCATATTGATAATTCTACCACCCTGAGGTTACGTTTGTCAATCATAAAGACATCCAGATAGCCCTATATATCTGCCACCATGAAAAATTTGTCTAAACACAACTGAAATGTAACAGCCGCTCCCAGTATAATGCACTGCTGCATATCCAAACTGTGCATACCTGGGGGTACTGCACTAGAGATCTCTCAAACACACCTAGTAACCTAGTACTGTCCTTGGTACTGAATGATTGATGTACATATGATGTAGGTTTGTTGTAAATCAGTATCAATTTTAACGCTGAAATGTATGAAATCTTTGATATATTTTGTAATTTCAGGAGAGAAGAGAGATCTTGTGGACAGATGGAAAAAACTGGCAGAAAGGCTTGCCCAGCTGCAGTACCAACTGAAGACAGCAGAGAGCGCTCTTGCATTTAGCTTTATTGAGGTAAGCTGTTGGTGCAAGAATTGCAATAATTGTAATGTTCTGGACAATACTTAGTGTTGGTCCTTCTTGTTCCGACTTGTTGGAGATCATATGCATCTTCCTTCAAGATTTAAACTAGATTGAGATACACTGTCTTACAATTATTTTCACAACCGTGGTATCATTGAGACACAAGTAAGCTGATGATGTGTTTGGTCCTTCTTGTTATGACCTGTTGTAGACCATCCTCCTTCAAGCTTAGAAGAAATTCTTACATATCTTTCTGCAATCCTGGCATTATCTCCCATACAAATGATCGCTGTTTTTGTTTACGTCATATACTCTGAAATAATTTGAAGACACATGCAAATTATTGGTAGGCAAATCAGCCAACCATCATCTCCTTTTTGCCTACCACTCGCTGACCGTGACGTCATGGTGATTGCTTCCATATAGGGCACCCTGGTGCAGGCGGTGAGGAAGGGAGAATGGGTCCTTCTGGATGAGATAAACCTGGCCACTGCGGAGACTCTGGAGTGCCTGAGTGGACTGCTGGAGAGCGTGTCGGGTTCCGTGGTGTTGATCGATCGTGGCGACACGAAACCTGTAACCCGACACCCTGACTTCCGCCTGTTCGCCTGTATGAACCCTGCAACTGATGTGGGGAAGAAAGACCTTCCACCAGGCATCAGGAGCAGGTAAGGATTATGTGTTTTCTCGGGAAACTAACATGGTTGTTAAGTCATTTAAATGTCACATCCTCATTCTTACGATGTGTTTCTTGTTTGATGTCGGACCAGGAATGAAAAGATTATTTTGTCTCTTTCATTTATCCTGAGCCTTAACTTACTCTACATTTATTGTGGTGACCATATATTGAGTAAAATAAGATGACTTACTGGTAATTGTGTGCAGTTCTGCACATAATTGTGTGTTTGCTTTCTATGTAATCCTTGCCCTTTGATATGATTTGCCAGCTTCACAGGCACTAGGCAGCAGCTATTCATACAATGTATCTTATCATATAATCCCAAGTGTTGAACTGTACTGAAGGCTTCAACTAGAATGTCTTGCTAGAAACCTGAGACCATTGTTTTCCCTATCTGCAGGTTTACAGAGTTTTATGTGGATGAGTTGGAGGAGGTGTCAGATCTGAAAGTGTTGGTGCACTACTACCTGCAGGGGATAGGGGTCACTGCTGCACAGGTGGATGGTATCATCAGGTAAAGAATTAACTTATGAATCTTCAGCATTGTGGAGTATAGTATGTAGTTGAATATAGTTTGAGAGCTTAAAACCTTGATAGTGATTCTACTATGCTAGACAAGTGAAATTTCACATTTTCAGTGACTGTACTAGACTAAGTGATGTTTGTTTTGGAATGTACATATGTTTACAAAGTGTGGAACAAGTTTCTCTTTATGGCCATGGAATTATTCTGTCGGTTACTGGTATATTCTAACCAAAGCATACATTTTCTATTTTCCTTATGTTTATTGTATTTTTATTAGAAGACATGTCCCCCTTGAAAACAGCCTGCCAATGTTAAATGGGGCTACCCAGTACAGTAGTCGTAACACAAAATAGATATTAAATGAATATGAAATCAAATTATGTTAACTTCACAATCTTAACATCATAGGTTTTACCTGAACGTGAGGAAGGAGGCAGCCAAGAACCTGACGGACACCACAGGTCATCGACCCCACTATTCCCTGCGTACGCTGTGCCGAGCCCTGCGGCACGCTGCGGGAAACCCCGCCGGGAGCACGTTCCGCTCGCTGTACGAGGGCTTCTGTCTGAGCTTCCTGAGTCAGCTGGACAGGGCCTCCCATCCAGTAGTGGAGAGGATGGTGTGTGAACACATCGTCGGTGAGGATCAAGAATTTCATATTTTGTACAGCAACACAAAATTTGTAACATTTAATATCTACCTTGAAATGTCAACCACAGATGCATAGTTCATGTCAGCATTGAGCCGTCATGTTTATGTGGACTCAGACATATTACTAGTACTTGATATACAAAACTCTAAAATGGAACTAGAAAGCACACTGTCCTGGTAGAGGTCAATATGCTACCTCTACAGTTCTGTGTCCTGAATGGATAGTGTAGAAGAGATAGTTCACTGAGTTTTCAGTTTGTTGGGGATTGTACAAAGACACGTAGGTGCTAAGTAAGATTTCGGTATATAACTCTATGGTACACTTCTATATCTACTTCTACTTATATCTACATGTACTTGGCTCATGTGACTAGTCATAATCTCCAACATAGTTTATGCCATGTCCATCAGTACCCTTATTATTATGCACTTACCATGACCAGGCAAGAAGAACATCAAGAGTGTGTTGAAGCAGCCCCTGCCCCGACCAGAGAAGGGCAGACATGCACAGTTTGAGGGTTACTGGATCACACAGGGAAGTAAAGAACCCGTCACATCTCAGGAATATGTCCTGACTCCAGCTGTACGGGCCAACCTACGAGACCTGGCCAGGATTGTATCTGCAAGGTTAGGACTGTTCTTCTTTAACATTCTCACATTCTGTGGATACCAACTCTCACCTCTCAGAGTGTCTATAATACAGGTACTGCTCTTACTAATGGATCATTGTTATGTTCAGAGGGAATGTTGTGTTGTTGGCCCTGCTGTTTTAGGAGAACCACATCTTAAGTGTGTGAAAGAAGCCACCACACCTTTCTAAAAGAGTAAAAGCTGTATTCCTTAAATACAAATACTTTTTTCTTACAGATTCATGAAGGGTTGCACACAGGGTTCTTCCCAGAAAGAAATGCCTCTCACCAGTTAAAAGACAGCATGTGTGCATAAGGGGTCCAAATCACAACATAGGGGCCCCTACAATCAAACTACATGTATGCTAGCTAGATTATCCAAATGCGACTCACATTCTGCTACTTTCCCTCTTCCCCAGGCGTTACCCTGTCCTCCTGCAGGGTGAGACATCGGTGGGAAAGACAAGCCTGATCACATGGCTGGCTCAGGCCAGTGGGAACCACTGTGTGAGAATCAACAACCACGAGCACACAGACATACAGGAGTACGTGGGGTGTTACGCTGCAGACCACACCGGCAAACTGGTCTTCAAGGAAGGTATGTGAAACTATGACAATGTAAGGTCCTTACATTGTCATGTAACCTTACCATGAATTATTTGTCTTTTAGTGTGTATGTATCTTTTATGTATTTGCCTTTTTATTTGTCTTACTGTTTAGTGTTTGCATTTTGAAACCTAGCAACGTTTGTTAAATTCCCTTTCTTGTATGTTTCTATTTGTTTTTCTAAGCATTAAAAATGTTACTCAGGCCACACCAATTTAATTTCTTGGTTAACGGATTCGCCCGCTCCATTTATTTTTTTCTGATTTGCAAATACATGTAAAAATAAAAATTCAGAATCAACTGCAAAATGCTCATATTTTGCCCTGAACAGTTGAAAACAGTCCTTTTCATCCTAGTTGTTACAGTTATTCTATCTTTCAATGCAATAGGATCATTAAAAGTTCAGAATTCATTGTTTAAATTTTGAACCAGCCTGTTGTGTTGACTTCATGGCTCCTATCGTACCATTTTGGGCCATAATAGGATGCCTAGGCCTGTTTTTTTTATTTTTTTTGGCCCGCCCGCTCCATTATTTTTCTAGAAAAATCCGTTAACCAAGGAATTAAATTTATTTATTTATTTATTTATTAAAATTCATCACAACAGTGAAAGGGACGGGGGAACAGGTGTAACACCTTTACCAGCCCTCGTCCCGATACAGCATACAAATACAATAGGCTCAAGTATAAATTGGTGTGACCTTAAATGAGAATGCAAAAAAATGATCAGTAATTTTTCTATAATTCAACAATATTGAGTAAATAAAATAAATCTTTCATTTTGTTTATCTGTCCTTCTCTCCTTCCCTCTATCTGCAGGTGTGCTGGTGGAAGCCATGAGGAAGGGACACTGGATCATCCTGGATGAGCTGAACCTGGCTCCTACTGATGTACTGGAGGCTCTCAACAGGTGAGGGAACTGATTATCACCCATACTAGGGATTACAGTCCTTATATTGAGCTTTCTGTCCAGTGCTTGAGGAGAACCATTCTTCAAACATGTTAAACCTTAAGGGCCCATCAGATTGAATGTGTGATTGAATAAAACCATTCAGTTCTGGCTTGTGTAGCTTGCTGTTACCAAGACCACTATGTTACACCATGAGACACCAGTTGAATGTTTGTAGGATATGACAAGCAAACAAACTCTCCAAGCTCTTTTATTGATACACATGTACATGAATATGCAGCCCTACAAAGTAACATACAAAGTAAGTCATATGTTTTTTGCCCTGCAGACTCCTGGATGACAACAGGGAGTTGTACATCGCAGAGACTCAGGAAACCGTGAAGGCACATCCACACTTCATGCTGTTTGCTACCCAGAATCCACCGGGGCTGTACGGAGGGCGGAAGGTCCTGTCTCGCGCCTTCAGGGACCGTTTTGTTGAGCTCCATTTTGACGAGATCCCTCCACGAGAACTGGAGACTATCTTAGAACAGAGGTGCAATCTGCCACAGTCCTACTGCAAGAAGTTGGTGAAGGTATGATGTAGTATGTGATCTGATGCATTGTCTTGAAGAATGAAGATTCTATGTCTTCCCTTCTTCCAGTTCTGTTAGCAATTGTTTTTTCTTTGTTTTTTACTGTGGAATTTGTAATTACCTTAAATTCAAGTAAGGCTGGTCACTCATAACTTTGAAAGAAATAACTAATAAATGTTTTACCAAAAAAATATCCCACAAAACCCATGAAACTGTATAAAGTGGAGTATGCTCTTTGAAATACAGTAGAATGTGAATCTTTACTGTACGTCCAGTAATGCATTAAATTTAGGGATTTCAACATGGCTATCCAAATTCAATATGACTAGTGCTAACGGCAAGGAACATGGAGAGACACATTTTTTTCATGTCATCATGAGTAGATATTTGCCACGCATCACAGCTGATCTCTTCTCCATCTGTTGCCATGGTAACAGGTGATGCAGGACCTGCAGGCTCACAGGAGGAGTACCAGCGTGTTTGCGGGGAAGCACGGGTTCATCACGCTACGGGACCTGTTCCGCTGGGCGGAGCGTTACCGGCGCGCCAGCCAGGGCACTGAGGGCTTCTATGACTGGGACCAGCACCTGGCTGATGATGGTAAGGTCACACTTTATTTTTTGTAAATTTTTCTTAATCTGGCGGTTATTCTAGTTTTCCATAGCTTTTTACAGGTTTTCTAACCTAAGAGAAATAGCAAACCCTCCTACATACAGGTGATGTTCTGCTGTTCTTTGTGTGCACATTTTCCATTTTTCCTTGATTTTCCAAATGTTGTACTATGAGTAGGACATTGGGAAATCCAATTACAGAAAAACCCAACTACAGAAACTTACTTCAATTTCAGAGCATTTCAATTGTTGTAAGCTATTCTCACTGTTACACTTCTCTGAAATAACTGAAAGCCCTAAAGGCTTTCAACCGTCTCCTGCACATTATTTTGTTTTATGTAATTTGTTTTATTACCTTTTCAAATTATTTTTTAACAACTGCGCAAATAAAATAAAATACAAACTAAACCCAGAGAAATGCCTGTTCCTCCCCAGGCTACATGCTGCTGGCCGGGAGAGTGAGGAGACCAGAGGAATGTGACGTGATCCGGACCATCCTGGAGAAACACCTCCGCAGGACGGTCGACCCCGCACGCCTCTTCTCACTGGGCAAGGACACGTCACAGGTGGCTGCTGGGATACTCAAACAGGTGGGAATTTGGGGGCAATTTACAGGTGTTGTTGTGGCACATTAGGAGACAGTCCCCCATGTCCCCTGTGACAGGAAGTTATCAAAGACACACCACATCTGTAACTGATTAACTATGAATAAAGCAGTCAGACCACAGTGTCTGACAAGATAGTTCCAGCAGGCAACCACAGAGTGCAGATCTCTTCCATAGTCTTCTCCTCTCCATACCCTACACATGTACCTGTGTAACAGTGGGGTTCAAGCGCCGCTAACTGATCCATTCCAACGGGTCCGGACCTTTTGGCATTGTTGTTAGTTAGTGCGCTGGTGTCGTAAGCTGGCTGCCTGGGTTCACTGGGGGCTCCTCTGTTTGTTTCACCTGTGCCAAGTACAATTAGCACAGTCAAGCCTTAGCTAACAAAGGCATTTTACATATTTCCCCATTAGCGCTGTCACGCCCCTGTGTATAATATGGTTTAATATGGTGGTCATATGTTTGTAGTAGTCCTATATGTTTGATACATAACTTTGTAGTATACAACCCTATTTTTGTATAATGTAATTCTGACATCTTGTATATATTGTATGATTCAATGCATGTAATATATACTATTGTAAATTTTGACCCTGTACCTTATCAGTTGTATTTGTATGTATGCCTAATGATTCTATTTTCTCCCAGGGTTGACCCTTAACAATAGTCTACGACTAGTTGGGCAACCCTGGCTGTTGTAAGCCAGACTAATAGATAAAATAAATCTGCTGAAATCTATGCAGGTTTCCATGGCGACCCCAGACAGGTTCCGCCATGTCGTGTGGACGTACAACATGCGTCGTCTGGCCGTCCTGATCGGCCAGGCACTGAGGTTCGGAGAAGCCGTGCTGCTGGTCGGGGAGACGGGGTGCGGCAAGACGACGCTGTGCCAGCTGTACGCGGTCCTGTCCGACCAGAAGCTGCTGGGGGTCAACTGTCACATGCACACGGAGACGGCTGACTTCCTGGGAGGGCTCCGGCCTGTACGCTACAGGAGCAGCGAAGAGGTGGGTTTGTTTATCGTTTGCTGTTTATTTCATTGGAAAAGAACCAAATTATGAAAGGTGTATAAAGCAATTCGTTTGTTTTATTTATTTCACCATTGAATACATATATCGCCTGAGGGCACTTTTCAACTTGCCCAGGGGGAGAAAACTCCAAGCAAAAGCCATTTATACAAAATATTACTAACATTACGTATCTTTAATTTGATGACTTTTTTCACCTGCAGGACTCCCAGAAGCTGTTCGAGTGGGTGGATGGGCCCCTGGTGCAGGCCATGAAGGAGGCAGCCATGTTTCTGGTAGGTCAAATCTGACTGAATCAATTGGTTTGTGACATTTGTTGGTAGTGTGAGATATGATTTTGATTGAGATACCCGGCTGCCCGGCTCCTCAATAGGGAGGGGTGCTACTCCCTGTCTGCCACCCTACAGCTGGGTGAGTGAGTACCTGGTTAACGTGCCATGAGGCCACACCAATTTAATTTCTTGGTTAACGGATTCAGAATCAACTGCAAAATGCTCATATTTTGCACCGAACAGTTAAAGACAGTCCTTTTCTTCCTAGTTGTTACAGTTATTCCATCTTTCAATGCAGTGGTATCATTAAAAGTTCAAAATTCATTGTTTAAATTTTGAACCAGCCTGGTGTGTTGACTTCATGGCTCCTATTGTACCATTTTGGGCCATAATAGGATGCCTAGGCCTTTTATTTTTATTTTTTTTCATCCGCCTGCTCCATTATTTTTCTAGAAAAATCCACTAACCAAGAAATTAAGTTGGTGTGCCATGATGAGGCAGAATTACAATTGCTGAAGTAATTTTATTGCATGACTTTTTTTTTGTTTCCAGATTGACGAGATCTCGCTGGCGGATGATTCAGTCCTGGAGCGGTTGAACAGCGTGCTGGAGCCTGGCCGGTCACTGGTTCTGGCGGAGAAGGGAGGCAGTGGGGAGGGGGGCAGCGGGGAGGGGGGTACGGCAGACGTGGAGAACATCGTCGCTCGCGAGAACTTCAGGATCGTGGCGACCATGAACCCTGGAGGAGACTTCGGCAAGAAAGAGGTGCAGTCAACAAACTTTGTTTCAGTTCTTGGCAAAAAAGTATCAGATTTTGGCTAAGATTCCATGAAAAAAAGAGAGAAACTTCATTTATATAATTGTAAGTGACCATGGTTGTATTATTTTATTAGCCTTAATAAATACAAAAGTCATTGTCAGGCATTTGTAAAGTAAGGAACAAAAAAATTGAAAACATGCATATTGTGCCATAAAACTCTTTCAAACAATCTTGAAATTATTTTAAAAAATTTGACTTTGAAAAAGAAATTTGAAGTGGTTGACTGAAGGTTTGTGTTTCTTTTTTTTCAGCTTTCTCCTGCTCTGAGGAACAGGTTCACTGAGATCTGGTGCCCTTCGACCTATGACCCAACTGACCTGGTACAGATAATAGAGCACAATCTGTCAGATGGACTGCAACTGTGTAACCAGGAGGATGGTGGGTAGTTTATCTTACTATGTACTTTCCAAAAAGATTAGACATACATACTCCCCAGTATATATATAATTTTACGACTCTATGATAATAGCATCTGTTTTGTTTTTTAACACATTACACATCACTGGGCACATTACACATTATTGTTTTCCTTTTCAAGCCCCCGATTATGATAATGATAATTCTTGTATACTCAATAACACCTGAGCGAAGTGAGGAAAGTTGTGTTAAGTGCCTTTCCCAAGGGCACAAGATCAGTGACATTGCAGGATTCGAACCCAGGACCTATTGGTTCCGAGCCGAATGCTCTGTCGTTATGCCACACAAGCCCACAAATGCTACACAACCTTCTTACTAAGAGCAATGCAGTAAGGATTGGGATGTATTTCAACATGATTATGTGTAATGCACTTTTCCATTTTCCAGGCACCAGTGGATTTGGCCATGCCATGATGGAGTTCATCACGTGGTTCTGTGACCAGGATTTCGGCTGCCGTTATGTCGTCAGTATCCGTGACATCCTCTCATGGGTCAGCTTCATCAACACCTGTTCCGGAACAAGCGTTGTTGCCATGGAGACTGTTGCCATGGAGACTGTTGCCATGGAGACTGTTGCCATGGAGACTGTTACTATGGAGACAGATATCCACCAGCCGCTGGACCCAGCATTGGCATACATCCATGGAGCATGTCTGGTATATGTGGATGGACTTGGATCTGGTGGGTAATTTTCAAACTTAAAAAAACCCTAATTGGCAATGTTGTTTCAAACTATTGATGCTGTTTAGTATTAGTCTTAATCAGTGGCTTTCGCTTATCATTTATAATTTAGATGACTCACTTCTACTTAGAGCTTCCAGAATGACACTGGACTATGAAAAAAAATCATGAAAATCCACATCATGTGTTTGGTTCACACAATGCTACATGTAGATAGTATTACATACATGTATACACATAGTAAACTTGTAGGTGCAGGTGGAAATATACAATGTAATCTTTGCATGCCAATCAGAAAATGCAAATTCTATTAATTTCATGGAAAGTTTATGTTTGAAGTATTGCTGGAGATGAGGAAACACAAGTTTTTGAGACACTGGTACAATTTGTACCTTCCAGGTTCTGTGAGTGTAGCCTGGGACCCCCGTGGAGCCCAGCAGCAGTGCGTACAGTTCCTGTGTGACCAGGTGGAGAAGACAGCAGGCGTGGAAGTGAAGAGAGATCAGCTGTTCCTGGTGGAAGGGGACGAGAGGAGGAAGCCACAGATTGTGTCGACTGCAGACAGCTTTGGCATCCTGCCCTTCACCATCCCTAGGGGTAACTTGGAATCAAGATTCAAGATATAGTTATTAATTGAGATCGCAGTGTAGAAGTGTTAGAAGTAGAAGTATCCAGTTTCTGATTGTACCCCAGGACCCAATGATAGGCACCACATTTCCAGGGTGCTGCTTTAAGATCTGTATCTGTATAGCCAGTGTAACCGCCCTTCAGCATAAGACACCAGCTTTGCAGGCATGCAATGCGGTTGGCAGCTCATTTCACCGAATGACCTGTTACACCCAGAATATTTAATTTTTGTTTGTCCCCCTCCCAGGCCAAGTAACTGCTGTCCTGCTGTCCAGCTGTAGCTGTATCAGTATAGCCAGTATAACCGCCCTTTGGGGTGACACACCAGCTTATTAGCAGGCATGCGGCATGGTGGCATCTAGCTATATTACACAGAAAGACCTGTTACACCCAGAATATCTAATTCTTGTTTGTCCCCCTCCCAGGCCCAGTCACCGACGCCCAGCTGACCAGCTACGCCCTGCACGCCTCCACGACGGCACTGAACGCCCGGCGCGTGCTGCGGGCCCTGCAGCTGCCCCGCCCCGTCCTGCTGGAGGGATCCCCAGGGGTGGGGAAGACCAGCCTGGTCACAGCCATCGCTAAAGCCTCGGGGAACCACCTGGTCAGGATCAACCTCTCAGAGCAGACAGTGAGTCATGTAGCATCAAACCTTGTACTAATCTGTAAGTCACAAAAACAGCAATATAGCATCTTAAATGCTGACTTAAAAGGCTATATACATGATTTTACAGAAAATCTTATCTACATGTAGTAAAGGTTTTAAAAATACAAGGCCAGCAGTATATCTGGCAACAATATGCTCCTCAGGAACACACAAGATACATTTAGCTATTGTCTGGTTTCAATCATAAAAATTAATGTATTCCATAAAGGACGAGTAGTGATGATGGTAATCAGCCATCGCCACATCGCCAAATCTGGTGAGTTACATTGAAGGGCAGCTACATGTATACCAGTGTTGACTAATACAGATAGAAGAAGACATTTTGTTGCTAATAGATGAACAAAGCGTAATCATCCTGTTGACTTTTCCAGGATGTTTCTGACCTGTTTGGGGCAGACCTGCCTGTGGAGGGAGGGGTCGGAGGTCAGTTTGCGTGGAGAGACGGACCGCTCCTGTCTGCACTGAAGGCTGGCAGCTGGGTGGTGCTGGATGAGGTGGGTCTACAAAATGTTTGATCCAGTCAGGTTTTGAAGGCCCGTAAAGTTTTCAACACTGTGTTGGCAGGTAACATAAGAAACATGGGTGAAGTGAGAAATGTTTTGTAAAGTGCTTTTCCAAAGAACACAATGCCTAGCCATGAACCATATGGCCATCAATGACAATTATCTCTAGACTTCCACTAATATTTTTACTATACTGCCTTCTTTAGGAAGTCTAATGGGGTTACTAAAAACTAACATGACTGCTGTAGTGGGTCAAATGTGCCTGAAAGGCTGAACAATCTCTTGTCTTGTTTGAGAAAGGGTTGATAGGCCCTGAGGTTAAGGTTCCTTTTACTGTATACAGCTAGGTAAAAGCTAAGGTTGATTGATTGGTTGATTGATCAATTTGTTGTCTATACTGTTTCCCCCAGTTGAACCTTGCCTCCCAGTCGGTACTGGAGGGTCTGAACGCCTGTTTTGACCACCGTGGGGAGGTGTATGTGCCGGAGTTAGGAAGGTCATTCCACGTGCAGCACAACAAGACCAAGTTCTTTGCCTGCCAGAACCCGCTTACCCAGGGCGGGGGCAGGAAGGGGCTGCCAAGGTCGTTCCTCAACAGGTTCACTCAGGTATACATGTACTATAGGAACGAGTTTATACATGTATGGACTGGTTCATTTGGAATAAAACAACAACTGTACAACACCTGCAACTGTAGAGCTCATATACAAAGCAGAGTGGGTTGTTCCTTAATACTGCTTTGTCACTCCATTAGTCAAGAGCATTTTTGACAAGGCTCCCTCAGTAAATTTAGAGGGGGAATTTTGGTACATACACAAATGTTACTAAGTGTTTATTGACTTCTCTTTAAATATTCCCCCACAGTGACAAGGATTGTTGTTGACAATGTTCCGTATTTCATTTCTTCAAGTATCAGATGAAACTTTGTAACAACCTTGTTCTTTCTCAGGTGTATGTGGAGCCTCTCAGCTCCTCCGACCTTCACTTCATTCTCTGCACCATGTTCCCGACCCTGGACAAGGTCATGCTGTCCAACATGGTGACCTTCAACCAGCAGCTGTACCAGGACACGGTGGTCAAAGGTCGCTGGGGTCAGCAGGGAGGACCATGGGAGTTCAATCTCAGGGACCTATTCAGGTGGTGTGAGCTGATGTTGGCCAATCAGGTGAGAAAAGTTTCATTCAGTATGCCATTTTTTGACCTGGTTGCCATGCTTACATTGACATAATGGCTGCACCAACAATTCTATAATTCAATTACCCAAGTAGCAGCAGATATGCAGAGCTGGATGTATATTTTTTCATGGCTCAAAGTTCAATAACACAATTATTATAATTGCGTATCTATTGGCAGAATGCATTTACTATAGTGTACATATATACCATAGAGCAGTACTATTTTTGTTATTATCAGATGTATTTTCACACCATGGGCACTTTAAGAATCACTCTTAAATTTAAAAGAGCCCATGAGTTAGAAAACCTCTTGAGTTGTTCATTACACTGATTGTACTTGTCCAATTTTTTAAGCAGAATTGGTCAGATGTGTATAGTGTGCCACAAAGGTATGCTATACACATCCACATAACTGTTGGAATGTACAGCTTCCAAAATCATATCCAGTTGCTTAAGTTTTTTGGCGCATATACAACAGTGTTGTATTATTTCCCCAGGCCCCAGGCTTGTGGGATCCAGGAGAACATGTGGGTCTGATCTACTCCGCCAGGATGAGGTCAGCCAAAGACAAGGACACAACCTTGAACCTGTACAGGAAGGTCATGCAGGTGGATGAGACAGCACCAGGTCAAGGCTTACCCTACACCTGCAGCAGGATGTTTCATCTAACGCCATACAGCATACAGGTTCGTTCACGACAGAAAGTTGGATTAAGCACAAACTCATATAAAAGTGTTTAAGATATTTCCTCAAGTGGTAAAACGTAGTTCCAACACCCAGCTCAATTATGAACCCTTGTCTTACAGTACCATCCATATAGCGCCCTGCATATGTACAATTTGGGGGTCCTTCTTGTGCAACGCATCACACTGCAGCGAACTGCAATGAGTATGGAAGTAACTATGCCACTGCAGGGCAAAAAAAAAAGTCAGGGGTCCTATGACCTGATTAAGACATGAAATTATTGAAAAAGATGTGTAAAAATGCCAGCAGGACAAGGGTTAAAGTTGTTTGTTGACATTCCGTTTCAGGTTGGCCACAGCATCCTGCCCAGGTGCCTGTCTGGACTGCACACTTCTGCCAGCCCTTCATGTAGCTTACAGCTGCTTCATCAGGCACTGGGGGCCTTAGAGGACCTCATGATGTGTATTAAGATGAACTGGATGGCTATACTGGTGGGTAATGTTCAATTTCTCCTGTAGTTTGTGTCATCAGAATGGACAGTTTCAGAACTTGCCAGGTGTTGAGACCATTGCAGACATGGATAAGGGGCTAAGAAATTTTAAAGTAGATATCATGGTTGTTTGAAAGAGCTGTTTGTTCACCCTAGACTTAAAAGTCTGAAACCTTTATTAGTAACCACCTCATAAGGACCACCTGGAAATGGTTGAAGTGTTCAGTATATGATTCACCATTAATGGCATATGCCTGAAGACATTTTACTGGTGTACAATGTATGTACACTGCATATGTCTATCCTTCTTGTTATGACCAGCAGATGAAGCTTTCTAAGCTAAAAGTAAAACTGTAAGAAACGTTTCTTTGCATGATAATTAGAAGCTGTCTCACCTCTCTAAAGTATTTTTACTAAATTAAATTCACAATCCCCCCAGGTCGGCCCCCACTCCTGTGGTAAGACATCGTTGGTCCAGCTCCTAGCCCAGCTGACAGGCCACCACCTACAGGTCCTACCTGTCAACAGCTCCATGGACACCACGGAACTCCTGGGAGGGTTCGAGCAGGCAGACATCGGCAGGCCATGGGAGAAGCTTGTCTCTGTTGCCATGGAGATGGTGAAGGACACAGCAAGGAGGCTGGTGCTGGAGGCTAAGGGTCAGAGGTCAAGGGCTACCCAGGATGCAGCAGGGCTATTGAAGATGTGGGACAACTTTAGGAAGCAATGTAAGAGAGGTGTAATATATTCTACATACTTGTAGTCGTTTTGCAAATTTCAAAGATGAAGTAAGGTGTCCTTTCAGACTTGCAATTCGTGTGGCCTTTGGGTCTCATATAGGTAACTTCTCTTGCCCTAGAAAACACAATTATTCATAAAAGCAAATGAAAAATGATCAAGAAGAATGAGCATTATCTGTACCTTGGCTGTGGATGCAAATTATTTCATTTGGGGAAAGTTTAGATTTGGATACAAAAAGCTTTTTGAGGATCGTTATTCATGATGATTCCACAGGTTCTATGGAGGAAGGAGAACCCAACAACAACTCCAGCCTCACCTTGGAGAAGTTCACAGCTTTGGAACAGCTGCTATCTCATCTAGAGGTCATCCAAGGGCAGCACGGGTATAGCACAGATGACCTTGATGTGCTACAGGCTGAGCTGAAAGGTCAGTTATAGTTAGTAAACGTTGGAACTGTTCATTTCATGTTATGATGTCTTGACTGAATTTTGGTTGAAGAATTGAAAGTCAGATTCAAAATAAGTTGAGATTAAGAAATTGTGTCGGTGACATCACAACTTTTTGAATTAAATGTTGGTTTCAGAGCTAAAACCTAAAAGTGAAGTTTGAAAAACTGTCAACATTCACGAACAGTAAGAGGATGTAAAATTTTTCATACTTCAGTGCCTTTTCTAGTGTTGCTTTGTGTGATATTAAAACAGATGGATTAACCTTGCATTCCAGAGTTGAAGGTGAAGTTTGAAAGGCTGTCAGCAGGCACAGACAGTAAGGGGACGTTTGAGTGGATTGACAGTGTGCTGGTTCAGGCACTACAGACTGGGGAATGGCTACTGATCGACAATGTCAACTTCTGCAGGTAGGTTTGGATTCCAGAAAGGTAATGAAAATGTAAATTTGTCTGAGAGAATGAAGTGTTTCCTTCATATTTTCCAATCAGATTTCATTAGTGCAGGTAACCAGTTTATAACAGATAATATATACATGTATGTAGTATTACTGTTTCCCATGGATTGAATTTCACATTCCTTCACAATCCTACTTCTGTCCTGGACAAAAATAAAAAGGATTCTAGTACAGAGCTAATAGCAATACTAGTACATGTACTTTGTTCAAACATGAAAAGCAAGCACATCAAATTTTTAATTGGTTTTCTGCATTCTTGCTCAGAATTAATCTACCAAGAGAGGATCCATTCTCAGGTTTAAGAGGTGAACTTTGTTGCCTGTCCCTTTAATGATAAATGTGTCTCTATGCAGTCCGTCGGTCCTGGATCGTCTGAACGCCCTCCTGGAGCCGGGCGGGGTCCTCAGCATCAGTGAGAGGGGCGTGATTGATGGACAGGTGCCAGTCATCAGGCCACACCCAGACTTCAGGTCAGTAGGGAGCTTGTTTGTTTGATTCCATTGCATGACTGTTGGGGACTGTAATCTTACTACACACCACCATATGGCTAAGAGTAGTACAGTCCGTTCAGGCACCAAAGAAGGTTGTTGAGGAGCAAGATGATAAGTAGATTTTAAGATGATAAGGTTGTAAATATACAACTTTTTCCTGTTTTTATGAATCAAGGTAAAGCATTGAATCAAACACTGAGTAACATTACTGTAGTTTTGAAGAAATTTTGAGTAACATTGCTTTTGAAGGACATGCCCATAGCCATCTTTCTGCATGCAGTAGAACCTCAATGATGATTTTAAACAGTCATTGCTTAATACGTCAATAGAATATCCAGGTAATAAGATACAGTTACAAAAAACAGTTACTCAACCAAAATCATATCCAGTTGTTTGAGTAACTGTTTTTTGGCACATTGCTTACTAGTATGTGACTTTCCCACCAGGTTGATCCTTGCCATGGACCCTGTACACGGGGAGATCTCGCGTGCCATGCGGAATCGCGGGGTGGAGATCTACATGACGGGAGAGCAGGATCACCATGGAAACCATGACAATCACCATGGCAACCTGGACCCCGAGGACGTGATGTCACTGCTGCAGGGGGCGGGGCTGGTGGACGAGGGGGCGTGTCAGCAGCTGGTCAGGGTTCACCAAGAGGTCAGGGAGCAGGTCAAAGGTCAGTTAGGTCTCTTGTGATTGACTGGTGGTGACTGGTATCTGTCATTATTAAATTATCAAAGTTACTGCAGAAGTTGAAAAGCTGTTACAGTAATGTTTTTACTAGGTCCAGAATACTGTTGTTTCAAAAAAAAATGAGGGCAAGATGGTCAGATTATATGTATGAAAACTCTCTGACAAAACCTTATTGAGGCCCTTTTCCATCGTTCCTGAATTTGAAAAGCTCCAGCTGAATGCTGTTGTTTAAAAAAAGGCAACATAGCTGGTTAAACAAGTTGAAAAATTCTGCTGAAGATTGATTGAAGTTTTTATTATCCATTTCATTGTCCAGGTCCAGAGAGCTGTTCCGTCCCAGAGCTGCTGCAGGCTGCAGTGTTGACTGTGCATGAGCTGCAGCAGGGGGCAGGGATGTCTGCAGCTCTCCTGCAGGCTGCCACACAGGTGTACGTCAGCACACAGAGGACACTCAGCAACAGACAGGTAAGGCATCCACCTGGCTTACATATTGGATTGCTTTGCTAAATGTATTATGTGTAAGTGGTGGCATTGAAGTAAGTCTTAGATACTTTGTGATCAATAAAAAATGATAAAGAATTCAGTGGTAAAATTATTGTAATAGAACAAAAGTTCAATGAACGAACACTTGTCAGTTGCTTTGAATCTGAAAAGATATTGAAAATGAATCTGAAAATTTTGAATATTTAATTAGCTTGAAGACAAACATACACAGTGCAGCCACCATTATAGAGAGGAAAGCATTCTCATTCAATGTTAATATCTTCTTCTCCTTTACTCTTTCCTAACCAGGTCTAATCCTAGTAAATTCATCACTAATTTCATGCCCTATGTTACAGCTGGCACAGAGTATAATTGAGAAGCACTTCAGTCTTGATGGGGTTGCAACAAACAGTGAAGAGGAGATGTGTACAGATATGGCTGCACTGTTAAGGACCCATGAGCTGCCTTCTGCAGCAGAACTTAGTGCCTGTACAAGTCTCAGCACCATCAAGAGGCAAGGGGCTGTGCTAGTGGGCCTTTTCCAGCAGCTTTCCTCATCACTAGAAAAAGGGTAGGCTTGTCCCTTTGTCCCTACAACGAATATTTTCTGCTAAACTAAACAATAGAACATATATCATATAACATCCTTGTAACCATAACTTAGTTTAAGAAAGCATCTGTGAATTATTACAGAAAAAGAAGGTGACTGTCTGTTTTCAAATGCCTAATCACATATGCCAGTATTGCTTTCATGTTACCTGTTTTATATAACATCTTTTGCTTTTCTTTCAGGTCTGATCCTTCTGTGGATGACAAAACAGTGCAGGAGCTTGTCTGTTTTGGTGTACGATGCTTCCTGGAAACTGCTTCTCTCTCAGACTGGGAGTTAAGACTTGAATGGCTACAAGAACAGTTCCAAACCAAAGCTAACAAACAACAGTATCCCAAGAAAAGCTGGGAATTCAAACTGCAGAAGTCTTTGGAATCTGATGTGGGCTTCACGTCTGCAGCCCTCCAGGATGTCTTCAGGCATCCATTGATGCATGACCTTCTGGAATGTTCCAAGGTTATTCTTTCCAACATGGCTGACCAGAAGAACCTGCAGTGCTACTCGTATGACATCAGATGGAACATGCAGTTCCTGCAGTATGTTCTAAACACCGCAGTCAGACAGGGGTATGACAAGGTCACACTTGAAGGTCATTGTAAAGAGCTGTTCTCATTTGCAAACCGGTTAAGGCTGGTTTCCCAGCACAGAAGGCGACAGAAGGAAGAAGAAGTTGCCCTTGAGGCCGTAGTAAAGCCAAGATCAGCACTTGACCTGTCTGTAGCTGTGTACAAAGGGACACTGACAGTTGACACCCTCCCCAGCACTGCATACATCCACCTGCTTCCATTCTTTAGGGAATTTGATGCCTTCCTGGAGGAGTGCATCAGTCAGAAGGGGATACTGAGTGATGAAGACCTTACTATGGTATGTAGTTATATAGAGAGTTATGTAGCCAACTTGCCTGTGCTTGGGTTTCAATGATACCTAAATGTAGGATTTCTTGACTTTTTCAAATTGAATATAGGAAGGGAAGTAACAAGACAGCTGTGACTTAGCCATCCATGTAGGTGTATTCAGGATACCTTTGACATATGGAGTGAATCCAAGCCTATCTACATGTATTGGCACCACTGCTCTGCCTTCTTATCCATACTTTTGGACAGAAATTTCACAGAACACTCAATCACAACAGCAGTGTATATTTCAGCACCAAGGACAGAACTGTTGATATTTTGTTGTTTCAGGTGTTGGTTGGCCTGCAGTGGAGAGACAGGTTCTGCCAGGTGTGCACCTGTCCTGTGGACCTGCAGCAGGTGTCACTGGGCATGCTCAGTCTACACTGGGGCTGGGTCTGCAGGAAGACTGTACCAACTTTTGGACTTCTCACAGATCAGGACAGGTTAGCTATTGCACTTTTCCAAAAGTGAAAGAAATTGCCCTGTCAATTGAAACTGTATGTTTAGTACATAGTGTCTGTTCCTTTTGTTAAAATCAGTACAATGTGTGGGATTTCTGCAAGGTAAAAGTAGATTTGCTGCAGATATGTTTGGCCAAGAACTGCCAGACTAAAAGGAGAATGGAGCCAGTCAAGGGAGGGGTTCCTCTGCTGGGGTAAAAATGCAATTTGAATGAGAGAGTGAGAAAATGTTTGGACAACAACACAGCTGCTCCAGGGTTCCTGGCAATGTTCTGGTGGGTACTTTATCTGCAGTGTAAAGTTTCATGTTTGTTACTCTTTGCCTGCAGCCTTCCTGTGGCCCTGCAGACTGTGATGAGCCAGCTGCAGGAGTGTTTGGGCCATGACCGGGCTGCTGCACTGGTCCAGCTGGTCCTGTGGGGGGCCATGGGCCATCCCGGGCCCTTCAGGACCGCCGGGGTCGCAGAACTGGTGGGGAGATGTCACAAGGTCGCGGACTGCTTGGAGGTCACTGGAATCAAGGTGATTTTCAAATTACAGCTTTGCTCATGTAAAAATGGCAATCCTATGACTACATGGAAAAAAATTTAAATTCTTTAAGGGAGGGTAACAGAAAGTGTAGAATGTTTTTTGATGTAGCAAAATGTGCTTGAGATATTTTGAAACAAACACTGTGATTTTTTTCTTATAGAAGCAATTGAGAAGCTGTGACCTTGAGGGAAGAGTAGTGTTCCAAGTGACCCAGGGGTCATCTGTCGGAAGGTCGTTAGCAGAGCTGCTGGTGCGGCTGTATCAGCTGACCACAGAGGAGTCATCAGAGACAGGTACGTGGGGCATCTTTCTGAGCAGCTTTCTGCTTCTGTCAACATCTGTCAAATGGAGGCAGTTATGTTTATGGTGCTGTTATGTTGTTTCATATGGCTGTGAAGAAACAAGCAGTTCCTCAAGAAGATTGGAATGACTGTTTTTAAATGATTTTTGGTAGTTTTTGGATTGAGAAAGATTTGATTAGATTTGGGTGCCCAACCTCTTCCTTTTGAATCTGCAGTGGAACTGCTTTTGAAAAAACATACTAAATCTCTAACTCTATTGTACAACAGTTGCAGATGTAGAAGGAGCTGTAGATGTGTTAGAAGCTGAGTTGACAGCCCAGGGACTGTTGGTGACCTCTGACCCTGTTGCCATGGAGACAGACTCAGCCCCACCCCCTGCTCCAGCTGACCTGACGACCAGAGTACAGATGTGGCCCCTGCTGGAGCACGCAGGCCTGCTGGCTGAGCTGCAGCTGCTCACTGACTTGGTCAGGCTGAGACTTTCACTCACAGATAGGTAGGGATTGGTGTATGTGTGTCTGATAATCCCTGTCCTGTGGATTGTATATTGTATGGGTTGCACATGCAGTACCATCTATACAGCACCCTGTATATGTATATGTACGATTTGGGGGTATTTCTCGTGCAATGCGTTACACTACAGTGAAATGCAACGAATGCGGAAGTAACTACGCCACCACAGGGCAAAAAAAGTCAATGGTCTGTGAACCTGATTAAGACATCAAATTATTTGAAAATATTGTGTAAACAATACTAGCATCACAAGGTTTAACTTCTGTATGTATTTATATAGTTCCTTTGAAGAAGTGCCAAGTTTGATGCATGTTTTCTTTCAGTGGCAGCTCAGTGGAGGAGGTATTGCAGAAGGTGGGAAGTTTCCTGCAGTACATCACAACCCACCTGCCTGCCAGGCCTCTGCAGACAGCACTGTACCAAACACTGCAGCAGAATGGGAACAACAGTGTAAGGGGTTTCTTCATCCATGTGTGCATATCTGACTTTTTCTTGATGATCAGAAAGCTCAATGAGCTTTAGACAAAGAAAGATTGGAAGGGAAAGATCAGGGAATTGAAAGATGTTGCTCCTACAGAATCTGCTGTTCAGACCACACCAGACTATTCCCTTGCTTGTCAAGACTTTGTATAAAGTTACAGTCAAGCAAGAGAACAAGCTGGAAACAAAGGGATGTGAAGAAAACTTAACCTTTAATCCCATGATATTCATTCCCTGAAACATGCCCCCTTTATGTCACCGTGATTCTTCTGGTTTAGCTTTTTTTTAATCCAATAACCAGCAAATTACATTGGTCTTTTTTTTTCAGTATGCAAAGTAAAGTACATTCAATTTATGATGATCCTTTGTACATATCCCCACAGGCCAGCCTAGTGAAACTCCTGACAGAGCAGCTCTCCTCACTGGTGATGCAGTTTCACCACCGGTGCTGGACCAGCACGGTGACCTCTGACATTGGCCAGTGGTTGTCATGGAAACCCAGGAACCCCTCAGCTGAAGCGAAGGAAGAGGCTCAGCAAAGTTTGGCAGACATTCCAGGGAGCCTGAAGGTAAAAAAAAATACACTATTAGTACATTACATGTTTTGTTATTGGGAGTTGTCGTCTTATATGTCTATTTGCTTATGTTATGGTACTACTTTTGACTGCAGCTATTTTTCCCAAGTGGAGGACATATATTACTGTAAACAGGTGTCATCTTCTTCACAGCATTTGAAGCCTTAAAACAAAGACTCATTTCTGGCAAAACAGTGATAGGAGACATAGGCTACCTTTTGGCTTATTCATTCTTGAAGTATCATGATCACTGGAAGCATGGAGTTAGAATCTAACTCCATGCTGGACGTAAGCTCCGTCTACATTTCAAGTCTAAAAGGTGAATGAATAATTTTGTACAGTGCAGATGTGTAGTTTGATTGTTCTAACAATGTTTCTCCTCTCCCTAGGGACCGTCAGCTCTCCTGTCCTCCCTCCACACCCCGGCAGTGTTCCATGTCCTCTGGGAAGGAGGGGCCCAGGCAGGACCCATTCAGCTGCCCAGTGTAGCTCTGGGACAATGCCAGGAAAAACTGCAGCAGCTCCAGAGGCTGTCCCAACATCTCTGGTCCGATGCCTGTAGCTTGAAGGATCCTAGTCATCAATTTTGGTAAGTGCTTAGATGTGACTTGTAAAGATGAGAAGTGATATTGAAAATGTGAAGGGTTGTGCTCACCAAATATTTCCTTTTACATGTACTATTCATTCACCCATTGTTTTACCATTCATCCCCAGGGTTTCAGACAGGCGGTACCTGTGCTTGTGTACTGCCCAGCTTCTACAAGCCCTGACTGTTCTGATACCTACTGAGAAACATCCAGAATGGGTCTCCATAGTAACAGATGTTGCCATGGCAACAGAGAAACCCTCTACTCCTGTGGTGGACAGAGCTAGGAAGATTCTCACTGGTTGGTGTTTAGTTTAGTTTAGTACAACTCATAGCTTAAAATTATTTGACAATGTGATACATAATGACTTTCTTTGCCTTTGAGATGTAATTACAAATTTGCAGAGAGAGTCACTAACATCTAATATTCATTCTTCAATGGTACTGTAACGTTGTAAAGTTTGTCCAATTTTGAATCTTTTCCAGGCCTTGTCCAGGAGGATCCTTCATTCCAAACCAGCTGGAAAGAACACACAACTTCACAGAACCTCCAAATCCCTCGATCTACCATGAACCTGCTCACCTCGTGCCTGCAAAGTCTGGAGGACATGGGTTGTCAGGACATCAGGGAACGGGGTAGAGAAGAGTGGCAGTACAGGAGGGAATGTGGTAGCACCTGGGTGCACCTGGGGTTGCTGCAGCTGCAGCTGCTGGCGCCACAGGGACCAGTCGATCCAGCTGAGAAACAGGCAGTGAAGCTGGGTTATGTTAGGGAGGAGGTATGTGGTAGAGGTGGTGTAGCACACTTAAGTAACTGTGTGTGTTTGACCTTCAATTCTCTTTTGGTTCTGTTGTTAGTTTGCAGGGAGAAGACAAATAAATGTAGTACTGAATGTGTAGTCCAGCTTAGAAAAGAAGCAGGATTTAGAAAAGAAAAGTTGACAAAATTGAAGCTCAGTTTCATAAAATATACAGTCACATACCCTGTTGCCCTTGTTACTTTTAGTCCTAGTAAATTCTGAAAAAGGAAATTATTATCACAAGGTTTTGTTTTAAGTAATTATATCTATGTTTAATTCCCCATATTTTGACCTTCGCCCCCACAGATCCAGACCCTGGAGACAGAGCTGAAGGTCAGGAACATGACCTCTCAGCTGCTGACAGGACGACCTCTGGACCTGACCAAGGTCGGACTGCAGGACCAGCACCCCAGAGTCAGGTTCTTAGTCTCCAGGCTGGAGAGTCTGAAGGAGCAGGAGAAGGAACTGGTCACCAGAGTGGCTGCCCGACCCTCTCCTTCACAGGTCTGTAGTAACATGGAAAATTGGTATTCATTTATAGATATAATTAAAACTTTAATTTGTAATTTGATTGATTTGGAAAATCAGTGTTGAATGAACTTGATAAATCTTGTGTTGCTTGAACAAATTTTTGTCATAAATTCTTTTGATGTTCCCTACTTTGCTTATTTTTTCATGTTAACACTCTAGAATACTAGTGAAGAATGACTATCAGTCTGTGTAACAAACTCTCACTGCTTTCTAGAGGCCTGTCCTTTTGGAGGGCCTCTAGAAACCATTTGGTAATTTCTACTACATGTATCAGTAATGTTTGTGTGTTCTGACAGTTTGATGCGATCCTGAGAGATGTTCGTCACTACCAGACAAGTGTCGGCTCACAGGACACTGTCCTGGCTCTACTGTCCGGCCTGGCCAACTGTGGGGAGGGAAAACTCAGGAAGGGGCAACACAACAAGGTGGGGAGGAGCTACAGGTTTTAAATATGCTGTTCAAACATTTCTGTAGTGACTGTCCAAGGGACTTGAAAATGATGGTTACAGTAGAGAGGTGGACACAATGGATTAGATTCTCAATGATCTCCAATTGTCCTATCTACCCTTGTTGTTTCTTCTTTGCCATACAATGTCCAGTTACAGTTGTTGAGCAATAAAGTTGATTTGATTTGATGTAGAAAATACTAAGAACTGCAATAGAGAAGCCACTATGACCAGATGCATATTAGGTGGTCATGAGTACAGGTTTGCCTGTGTAAGGAAGTCAGTTTGTTGAATGCAGTTTTTTATTTGTTATATTAAAGCTTAGGAATGAGTGATAGCTTTTGGGCATGATCGAGTGTATATTCTCAAAAATGAACAGTCACATAATGGCTTCATATGGCAAATCTGTTCACCATTTTTGCATTTCTGTGTCAAGACATTACAGTACCTTGGCTTGGTTGTTAAGATTCTGTATGCCTAATGTCTTGACAGTTGAGGAGTCTTCTGAGTCAGGAGCAGGCGTGGCAGACGTCTCAGCAGCAGTTCCTGAGACACATGCAGAGGGACTACCCCATGTACGACGACCTGCTCACCCCCTTCCTCAGTGGTATAGCCCAGGTAAGCTACCATAGCAACCAACCAAAATTTGTGCCACTTCAGAAGGAATTGTGTGGCTTGATATTATGAAATGCAGAAGATCAGTTGTTGTACCGTATGTTGTAAAGAAAAAGTTACCAAGATGTAGTCATTCACAAAGATATGTTAAAACTCCATGATGATTCAAAGCTTTTTGAGATGTGTTGTTTACAGACAGAGTGACTTGTCTCAATGTGTAATACTAACTAAACCTACCTGTGTTCCCAGATGGTCCATGGGATAAGGCTGGTAGCCAGTGCAGTATACATCTCACTACAGAGGAGCAGCCTGAACCTGACTCTCTCACCTGGACTGAAGGTGACTTTTTTCTCCCCTTTACTTTGTTGCAAGACTACAGAAAATATTTCATAACAGTACCTCTCACATGACGTACTCACTCCATCCTCTTTAGTGCATGGAGCCAACAGGCAACAGGGTATAAGAACAACCGATGACAAAGTCTACTCCAGGACCTAAAGAAATTATTTAGATTTTGCCATAATACGTTATAATGTCTATTAAAATGTCTTGACTAGTCTTCCTGCTAGTGACTCAAAAAAGGTGAAAAATAAGTCCAATGAAGTCACATACATTTATTTGTGACCTTTGTGTATAAGAAACTGATGAATTCTTTGCTTACCCTAGCTCCAGACTCCAGAAGACTTGATCCGATGTCTTGGGAAGTTCCCACACGTCTCACCAGAGTTCCCCAGCTTGCTAGACCTCGCCCGTGCTCTGTGTTCTCCCGAGGCTACAAGTCTGGCAAAGAACGTGATGAAACTACAGACCACAGAAGGAGTGCAGCACTCTGACAGGACTGTGGAAAGGTAGGTAGTTGTTTAAAGTATGGGAGCACTAGTTTGATATTCATGAGTTCTTAGATATTTTGGGGGAGATAATTATTCACAAATTAAAGTATTATACAAAAGAAATCCACAAAAGGAAGAGTACCACTGATTCCTCACAGTTTCGTCTTTAAGTTTAAGTTTTGTGTTCAACCAGTAGTATAAGCATGAGATGTGTAAGATGTAAAGCACTGATTCGAAGTGTTGCTTTAGCAGATATCCATTGTTCTTGTTCCAGCCTGTTGCAGCCAGCCCTGTTGCATGTGAGGAACCACAGTCTGCAGACAGGACAGCTGACCGGCCCCACCCTGCAGCACATCCTGCAGTCATATGATGTCTAACTGTAAGCCTGTTTATGTTCCAGCCTGTTGCACCCAGCCCTGCTGCATGTGAGGAACCACAGTGTGCAGACAGGACAGCTGACCGGCCCCACCCTGCAGCTCCTGCGGCACGTCCTGCAGGCATACGTGCTGCGGTGGCAGGAGGGCAGGGAACACGACAAGGAGAAGGAACAGGAGGAGGCCAGTCTGTACAAGTAAGTGACATTTTTATTTCAAATACCATGTAAAAGTCTGTGATGATTCCTTCATCCTTGAAAGTATTGTAGATTGGAACTATGTACATGATTGTACATATAGAATACAGCACGGTGTATTCCGTATCGCCCGAGGTACCAGCCCGACCGCGCGTCGGATCGCCCGACGGCCGGAGGGAGATCCGATCCGCGGGAGGGCTGGGACCGAGGGTGATGCGGAATACACCGTGTTGTATTTTATTTATGTCATACCCACCCACGAAAACGCGCCTTTCAATGCGAAATGAGCAAAAATTTGGTGTCCCTAATCCCCAAAAACGCAACAACATCAATTCCAACGTCCGAATTTTGCATTCGAATTTTCGGAAGCGTTGCACGCGGTTAGGGCGAAATGCGTTCGAATCTATCTATGGAACATTTGGAAGGGCCGGGCCGTACGCGTTAAGAACCCCCGGGCCGTACCGCTAGTTATCACACGGGCCCGAACACCCGTATCCAACGTAATCGCGGCCCAGGTAGGACATAAAGTATAATTATCACTGGCCAACTACATACATACATACAACAACTATAGAAGCCATGCTAAAATGTGCATAACTAACTGATTTTTACTTTACTTTTACTTTAATCAAGTTCTGTTGTGCCTGAACCTTTACCAACAGAACTTGCTATCATGTGTGACCAATGAGAAATCTTGTTCCATTGCTTAGGTGGAAGAGTAAGACGCATGGTGATTCGCTGACTGAAGAGCAGCAAGAGGAAAGGGAAATCAGACAGCAGTTCCCAGGATATGAGGAGGTAACTGACAACTAGATGCAAATCATAGTAATTTCCTTACTTTCCCAATCCTGACATTCGTGTACTTTGGCTGTTGGCCCATAGAATAATGCAGAAGGGCTCAAAATACTGGGTGCATGTGCACCTTAGTGCACCCAAATTCATAGCTGTGCACCCAATTTTTTTCTGTGGGTGCACCCAAATATTTTCGTAGGTTGACATTATGTAAAAATGTTAAATGTATACTAGTAGTATACAGCATATCATTAACATGTAAGTGTGAGAAAAATAATTTAAAATGTTGTAGTACGTTTCTTCAGAAATGAAACATAATTAGTTTTTGCTGACATTCTAATAATTTTATTTTATTTTGTTTTGTGTTTCTCTTCAGGCATTTGGTGACATCACAGCAGAACCAACTCTCGGTGACGACGATGATGATTCCAGTAAAGCCTCTCAGGAGATCCCTGCCCCTGTGCATGATGGGAAGCTATCCCATGAGGCTGTTCTGCAGATCTGTGAGGTTCACCACAGCCTGTACACCAGCCTCACACGGACACTCTGGTTGGATGTCGGGAAGGAACTGACAGCTGTCAATCATGTAGAGCCCTTCCTGATTGGCTATCAGACAGCAGCAGAGCTTTCCAGGCCTCTTCTTGGGCAGTTAGGTAAATAAACAAGTTATCCATTATATAGTAGAGGGGATTCATTCCTCAAGCTAACTGACATCTTGCACACGCAGTCGTCCCTCAGTAAGACACCTGGAGCCACATAGTTCCCGTTTAGAACTTTTATTCAGCCTGTCACACAAGTCAAACAAGTTATCCATGTTTCCCTTTGAAGGAAAAATACAAATTGTCCAAACCTAGTGATGGACAGGTGTAGTTGTCTCCGCATCCCTCGTTGTCAGGCAGACAGAATACTTCAGGTGATTGAGCCTGTCCACCCCCGTGTAGACTCTAGTTGGTATCGCCCAAAGTTGAAGGGTCACCCTCCCTGCGCATGCGCACCAGTCTAAAGTTTTTCAGCTCCACCTGGCCGAAGCCCTCTCGGGATGGGTCGTGCCGGCACTCGTGGAGAACTGCACCAGTCAGGGAGGGTGTCTGCCTGACAACGAGGGATGCGGAGACAACTACACCTGTCCATCACTAGGTTTGGACAATTTGTATTTGTCTACCGCATTCCCTCTTATGTCAGGCAGACAGAATACTTCAGGTGAGATTTGTAGCTGCTGAGGCCAGGACGTTTCTTCCGAATGAAGCTGACCCCACCGGTCTGTTGTAGAATTTCTTAAAAGTAGAAGCTGTAGACCAATTAGCTGCTGCTAGAATGTCCTTGGTTGATACGCCTTGTCGTGCCGCAGCAGAAACAGACGCCCCTCTAGTTGAGTGTCCGGTGAACCTTGAGGTGTCGATCCCGGCCTCTTGTAACACAGTTTTTAGCCATCTAGCGATGGTAGACGTAGATACCGCCTGGTGTGGCTCCACAAGAGCTCTAAACAGAAAACTGTCGCACAAACGAAAACTTCTAGTTCTTGATACATAGGCTTTCAGGTATGTTAGCGGGCAAATTCTTCTGTCCTGCGGGAAGCTTGGAATCACAATGTCGTGTGTGACTCTGCCCGGCCGTGAAGTCTTGGAGAGACTGTTAACAGTAAAACAAACTCCGTCGGAGATTCTTTTCTTGAATCTCAGATCCAGCAACGAAAGAGACTGCTCTCTTCCCGCAGAAGTAAGAGCAAACAACATAATAAGTTTTAAGGTTAACAAACGAAGTGATAAAGAACTTGCTGGAGACCAACTCCTTAGCAACTTTAAAACTTTACCGACGCTCCAGGTAAAGCTATACTTGGGTAGTGCTGGACGTAGTTCAAGCACACCTTTCATGAACCGCCTCACCAACGGATGTGATCCTAGAGGCTGCCCTTCCACGGGAAGATGTGTGGTAGATATAGCTGATCTGTACACATTGATAGTTCTGTACTGGAAACCCTTGTCGTACAAGGATAACAGAAAGTCTAGCACCTTATTCAGAGGTGCAGAAACGGGATGGATGTGCCGTTGATCACACCAGCCACTCCACTTGTCCCAGGCCGAAGCATACAGTTTCTGTGTTCCTGCTCTCCATGATGCCAAGAGGATTCTGCTAACCTCTGGCGAAATGCCATACATGTCGTGCTGACTCCGCAGACATGCCAAGCGGCTAGTTGCATTCTTGTGCCCTCTGGGTGAGGCATCCCTGACTCTGGCTGTGTCAGGAGACTGTTGTGGCAAGGTAGTAACACTGGTTCTTCTACCAGCATCTCCAGCAGTACTGGGTACCAGACTGCTGTGTCCCAGATCGGAGCTACGAGAAGCAGGTGAGCTCTGTCTTCTCGCGCTTTCCTTAGAGTTGGTGCGACTATCATGAACGGGGGAAAAGCGTATGGCAGATCCCACCTGTTCCAGTTCATTGTGAACGCATCTGTCCCGATTGCCTCTGGCTCTGGATGCCAAGACACATACTGAGGTAGCTGGTAGTTTGTTCGGGACGCGAACAGATCCACCCCCTTCATGAGTCGTGGAAATGTCGCTTGCGAACAGATCCACCCCCTTCATGAGTCGTGGAAATGTCGCTTGCAAACCCAGGAACGTGTAACGATCCAGGGTCCATTCCGTGGCCAGAGAAAAAACGCCGGGAATTGTAATCCGCTCGGACATTCTCCTTGCCTGGTACATGTTCTGCTGTAATGTACAAGTCTCTGTTCACGCACCACTCCCATAGATCGAGAGCTATGTCCATCAATCTCTGAGATCTCGTCCCTCCGAGACGATTCAGATATGCGACTACCGTCACATTGTCCGTGAGGACCTTCACGTGCTTGCTGACTAGCTCCTTGCAGAACGCTCGAACCGTCAGTGACGCTGCACGCAGTTCTAGGATGTTTATGTGTGCCTGTCCTTCCTCGACAGACCACCGGCCTCCTGTATGTACGCCGTTGCTGTACCCACCCCAGCCGGCAGTAGAGGCATCCGTCTCCACCACAATGTCTGCTGCGGGTGAGAGGATTGGACGACTGTTGTGTCTGGGTAGGTGATCTGTCCACCATCTTAAGTCTGCTCTTGCTGATTCTGTCAGTGGTACGAGCTGTTCCCAGTGACCTCTTGTCACACGCAGAACTGTGATGAGCAGACGCTGCAAACTTCTGAAGTGCAGCGGCGCCAGCCATACGGACGTGGTTGTGGCTTGTAGCCTGCCAATCACGCTTGCTAACTCTCTTGCCGACATCCCTCTGTCTGCAGTCAGTACGTCCTGTGCTAACTGCTGTAGCTCTAGAACTTTGCTCTCGGGGAGAAAAGTAACCATCTGTGTTGTGTCCATGCCGGAACCGAGGAAGGTTATGCGTTGTGATGGCTCTAGAACAGACTTCTCGAGGTTAGGGACGAATCCCAGCCTTGACAGGAGCTCTATGGCTGCCCAAAGAGCTTCTCGGCATGCTTCTCTGGAGCAGACGATCACCAAGATGTCGTCCAAGTACACCCCTAGACGAAACCCCCGTCTTCGCAGGATAGCCACAGGAACTTTCGGGATGGTAAAGTATGCGTCCTTGAGATCCAACTTTGCCATAAAATCTCCTGGTCGAACCAGGTTCTTGATAACTCCCAGAGTTTCCATCTTGAATTTCTGAACATTTAAGAACTTGTTTAATGGTTTCAGGTTGATAACAGGACGGAGACCTCCTGTCTTTTTTGGCACTGTTGAAACAAACTGATTGTGCTGATACTGAACTTCCTTTATTGCCCCTTTGGCAAGTAGAGTCTCTACCTCTCCGCTCAGAACTTCTATCTGAGCTGGACTTCTTGCTCGACAAGATGGCAGATGTCGTTGCACCGGAGGCGTTCTCGCAAATTCCAACCTGTACCCCCTGACGCACTGAAGAACCCAAGGATCGGAAGTCAACTGCCTCCACTCCTGCATGAAGTGGGCTAGCCTGCCTCCGTGAAGCAGCTGAGTAGTGTTGGGTACATGTTGAAATTCGGTCAAACGCCGGCGTGCTTCTCCCTCTGAAGCTGTGTCTGTTACTTAGACTGCTTCTGCTTCCCGTCCCCCGACTTAGACTGAAAGGACTGGTTGCGGTTGTAGAACTGTCGGGTTTGTGAACCCCTGTAACTGTACTGGCCATAATTGGCCCGTGGCATGTAGCGGGAGTTTCTGTAGCTGTAGCTGAACCCTCCGCCAGTTGCTCTGCCGCCGCCGCGACGAGCACCACGCCTCGGCACTGAAGACTTCCCCTGGTCGTCCTGGCTGAGCATGCCAACCAGCACTTTCGTCTCTGACGACAAGTCCTTAGCCTTTGACCCCATGTCAGGCGGGAACAGGAACTCTGGGTCTTCAGATGCTGCCTTGAAAAGGTCTCTAAACTTCTTCTGGGATGACTCTGCTATGAACGTGCGTCGGGTGAACGCCAACTGAGAATGTAGCAACCCCAGCAACACAAGTGCTGAACCAGCACAGTCACTCATCTCTAGCTGCAACTCTTCAAAGTTCTCACTATTACAACGCTGAATCATCTGCCACAGATTCATCAAAGGTGTACCAATATGCACCAAGTTCGAATGGATGTTCTTTAGAGCCTTATCATGAGAAATGATCTGCTCACCCTGCTTCTTGTCATTGTCGACGACAGCCCTGGCTATGTTGTCGTTGAAACTCGGTGCAACCATCGTGGATGGAGCGTTGTCGGGCATGCTGAACTTCTGCTGCCACGCCTCTAAGTCTGTACCCCGGCGCTGCTGGTCATGCTTGAAGTACTTTTCTACTTCAGAAAAGACAACATCGTCGGCTACCCATGAGTGCATGGTGTCCTTGTTCGTCGGGTCGAACGGCTTCCACACCGAGTCGCTAGCGCCGGAGTCGCCGCCGACGCTCTCTCCTTCCGCCCCGTCGTGAGACGGGGAGCGCTGCTTGCCACTGCGGGCGCTAGCGCTATCTTCCTTCCGGCGTTTCTCAGGAACTGCCACCGCCGGATGCTCGTCGGAGTCACCGCTGACGCTCTCTCCTTCCGCCCCGTCGTGAGACGGGGAGCGCTGCTTGCCACTGCGGGCGCTAGCGCTATCTTCCTTCCGGCGCTTCTCAGGAACTGCCGTCTCTGGACGAGCGCTGCGTCGTTTCCTCGGTGAAGATTGCTCAAATTGAGCTAACATCAGCTCCTGGAACGCCTCTAGCCTCTGAGACATGGCCGCAAAACTCTGCTCCAAGGCAGAGATGCGGACGTTTGTTGGCGAAAACTCCGTTTCGCTATCATGCGTCTTCTTGCTTCCGTCGCCGCCACCACTGCTTATGTCTCCGTCAGACGGCAAGTTGCCGTCTTGCTGAACCGTGGGCGGCTGCTTCTGCTCGCCGTCGCCCTCCTGCTGGCTTCCGTCAGCGCTGAGAACCGGCATAGCCGGAGAAGACGACTTCTGACGACTGTCATGGCGGTCGTTTTCACGCACATGGTGCGCCGACCCGCCCGGGCTTGTCCCGCCTTCCTCGCGCTCCCTGCCGCTGGAACGCCGCCGGGAACCGCCACGTTCGCGCTTGGAACTCTCCTCGGTCGCCCTAGGACCCGAAGGCGCCCTCGAACGATGTCTATCGCGTTGCTTTTCACGCCTAGACCCCATGATACCAACGCAAAACACGAAGGTGTTTACAGGTTGCTCAAAAAAATTAGACTGGTGCGCATGCGCAGGGAGGGTGACCCTTCAACTTTGGGCGATACCAACTAGAGTCTACACGGGGGTGGACAGGCTCAATCACCTGAAGTATTCTGTCTGCCTGACATAAGAGGGAATGCGGTAGACAATATAATTTTCATCAATGTTTCTGCTGGGACCAAGCATTGAAACCTGAAATGCCCAAATATAGTATATCCATACACTCAGTTGTAGCTGTCCTTGGTGCAGAAATGTTGGTTTTGTTGTTTTACTGACCAAACATGGTTACAGTTTATCATGAGACTAAAATGTATGTAAAAGTTTTATATATGTTTGCTTTTTTGAACTGACACATTCATGTTGTTATGTAGTAATGAATTAGCCACAATTTGTTTTTAGGGAATTGATAGCCTTATAAGCCTAGGGGGTTAAGACAATCGCTGCAATATATAGTGAAAATATACAATCTGTTTTGTTTTGTGTTTTGTTCAGATTGCAGGTTAGATGGTGACCTTGTTGGAGGTCACATTGTTGCCAGTAGTCTGGTGCAAGGCAGACTGAAGCTGCTGCAAACTGGTGCTGGAGACAGCAAGGTAACTTTTTCTGTCATCTTTTACCAGGGAAGTCCAATTCAACAATTTGACTACTGCATTACAGACAGTCCCTGGGTCACCAATAACACATAAAGTTTGTACAGTTTGTACAGTTTCATGCAAGCAAAAAGATTTGACATGGCACAAAAGAAAGGTCTAAATCTCAGAATCTTGAAACACAGTAGCCAGCCATGATAATGTAATATATGACTTTGTTTTAGGCATTGGACTCTTATGTAGAAACAAATGTTTATTTATTTACTGTACGTTGTCCTCCTTTGTATTGCTGTATGTAACAATGCCTTGTCTTATAACATGCTGACCCCCCTCGGAAAACAGCTATTGCAGGCTGAATGGGGCCACCCAGCCATCCTGAGGTAAAATAAATAGATTTATAGACTAACAGAGTTTAATTTGCACATTTCTCCAGACACCACCCCAGCATAGCAGACAGTATGACATCTACCATGACCCTAACATCCCTGAGGTTCTACAGTGCAGAACGTTACTGGCAGGTGTGACAGTCAGGACAGAGGAGCTGCTGGCTCAGTGGCCTGATCATCCCACTCTCAAACAGGTCAGAGATTTTGAATGTATTTCCTAATAAATCAGATCTTTGTCCTTTTTATATCATATTCCCCAAACTATATGGGGGAAGATATTGTTTTCTTTGATGTTCCCTCTTCTGACAATTTGATCAAGAGTTTTTACAGTTAAATTTTTTGTCCAAATGATGTGAAGTTTATTATGGGTTACTCATACTGATGTCAGGTATAGATGGTTCAAAGTTGATGCATGGATGTAACATCTGTGTCCATAATATCACCAGGGTCCATAATATCGCCACCTTGAGAAATAGTGTGCTTTAAGATATTTTTACTGCATCATACTTTTGGTATGCACTCCTGCACACCTCAAATGTACATACCTAGGGTATGTTGCAGTAAAAAATATCTTTAAGCACACTTTTTCTCAAGGTGGCAATATTATGGACCCTGGTGATATTATGGACACAGATGTTACCCACAGAAAGGACAAATGTTAAAGGTTTTTATTGTTGTGATGTTTTCAGCTTGTTCAGCTTGTGGAAAGACTCCTGTCCTTTCCAGTGACCAGCCCACTCATGAAGTTCCTAACAGGACTGGAACTGCTGCTGAAGAAAGCACAGGTATGGTTAATTTGTTCATGAACCACAATGGAAAATCTGTATCTATTGAGTTAGCATATCACGAAGAAAGAGTACACAGGAAGCCTGTATCTGGACTTATGGTTGAGAGTTTGAATCCATAAGTTACTGCTGTAATTTTTCCAAACTGTCATGTTCCCAGAGACAAGGTCAAGTCACGAGAATTTAGTCAAACTATGCAATTGATAATTACTACTTTTCCTTCAAGATCATCTCTAAATTACAGTTTTCACAATGCCATTATTTATGACTTCCGTGATTTAGCTCATATCTAGTTGTAAAGAATGGCAACAGCATTTTGCACATTTAAATGAGAACAGGCTATCTGTAAAGAGTACAGTTCTCAGAATGTCATTATTTCTGCAGGAATGGGAGAACAATGCCAGCAGAGAGGTTTCCATGATGACACAGCTGGAGGCCATCATGCAGATGATCATCCAGTGGAGGAAGTTGGAACTCAGGTGGTCCTGTTGTACATCTTTGATATAAGTTTCTACATACAAATATCTCATTATGTGTCAACAGTATATGACATGATAGGAATACAGAATACACAAGATAAACAATTAACAAACAAACAAAGATGCACAAGACAGGATACCACAGTATAGAGGGAAATATGTTCTTTGAAGTGATACCATTATTCAAAACTGCAATGTAACGTTAAATCCAGACTTTGATTCACGCAGCTCTGCATAACAGGATATATTCTTGCATTATCCTTCTCTGCCTCTTTCCTCTCCTCTAGTAATAACTGTGCCCCCTCCCTTTAATGACCTTGACAGATGTCCTAACGACCTTGCCTGTGCCCCCCTCCCGCAGGTGCTGGTCCCACTGTCTGGACACCTGTACCCAGCATGCCGCTGAGACGGCCAGGACAAAGTGGTGGTTCCACCTGTATCAGCTGGTCGAGAGTCAACTCTTCCCAGAAGCCTCCTCTTCAGCAAACAGGTAGCAAAACAGCACTGTTTGTTTGCTTAGTTCATGATTGCAAAGGTGCTTCTAAAGTATTTTTGCCATAAGTAATTCAAATTCAATGTAGGAATGCAGTGCTTCTTTAAATTTGTACATTTGAGCATTATACCAACTTTGAAACCATTCCTGTCATATTCTAAGAGGGTAAAGTTTAAGGATTTTTGCCTATTTCCAATCATGAAAACTGAAGAATATTGGTCCAAAAAAGCTACATGTCAGACGTAAAATACATATTATCCTTTACCCATTACATGAAGACTTCATCTTCACTGGTCAATAATACACAACAACATGAACATAGAAAATACATGTAGTGACAAGAGAAATGTACTAAATAATTCCGCCCTCCCTGTTCCAGTGATGAGTCTGCCCAGACTACGAGTGAGTTTGTGTCGAGTCTGAAGCAGTTTCTGGAGTGTTCCAGTCTGGGAGAGTTTCCCGCCAGACTTCAGATGGTTCACGACTTCCACTGTCACGCTGCAGCTGTGGCCAACAACCAGCAAGGTGAGAAGGAGTGTGGAAGAAAAAAAGGTGAAACCAAAAATGTTCTCTACCAGTTTAGCTCAAATGAACTCAGTGAATAGTTAGACAGATGCTACATGTATGTATAGTACTAATAACTATATACAACCTTGCAATAGCTCAATTGGGAAGAGTGTTCACTTTGTAACCATTGAGTTCAAACCCCGGCTGGGTCATACCAAAAACGTGAAAAATGGTACATACTGTTTTCTCTGCTTAGCACTCAGCATCTATGAGAAAGAGTACTACCAGTGGGCCAGCCCCCTGCTGTAGCACAACTGTGTGGCCCAAGGGCTACACTTGTACAGAAATGGAGATGGGCACCACTCCTATGCTCCACAATGAGTGGAAAGGGACCTTCTTCTTCTGTTCTTCAGATCTAGAATAGTAGGTTGCCCTTTTGAATTTAAAGAAACTCAACACAAATCTCTCCCCTCCTATAGCTGTTGTTGCCAATGTTCTGTGGAACCTTCACTGCTACTATCACCAGTTCCTTCCGACTGTGCAAGACACCATCAAGGACCTCCGGACTCCTGTAGAGAAGGAACTCAAGGTGTGGAAAATCTTTTGAACATTTTGTGTTGTCTTGCTACAGTTTACTGGAATAGTAGCGTCACGTGAGAGTGACTTCATTCAAGTGTTGTTTTTACACTGAGTATATTTTTACAAAAGTTATTAATAACTTTTTTATGTGGGTTTAGGGTTTTGTGAAGATTGCACGCTGGAGCGACATGAATTTCTGGGCCATGAAAGACTCCGTGGAGAAAACCAGACGGACCCTGCACAAGTACATCAGGAAGTTCAAGGTCAGTATGAAAAGCAATTTGTCTTCCTAGACTCTAATTGCATGACCTGTACAGTAGTATACATGCATATTTGATACATGTGACCTAGACTTACTGTTGTCTCTGTGTTTCCTGTTGATGTCTTCTTTTTTGGTTAAACAACAAACACTTGAGGACATTTCAGATCAACACTATTGTTTGAAACCACTTTGCTACCAATTTTACTACAGAACAAAGCACAAATGTTTTACCTTTCATTTCTGTTCGACTGTTGGCAGGAATCTCTTGGGAAACTGGCCAGTTCAGTCATGACTTCAAACACCCTGGAAACAGAGTTGGAAGTCAAGCCCGTGGGAGAAACAAAACATGACGTCATTCCAGTCAGCAACTTTGTTGCGCCTGAAGGGCTGCAGGTATAGTAACATTCCTGTTATGATATTCTTATTGTCTCTTTTGAGGTAATGGTTTTCAGTATCATTGGGAATTGTTTATTTCCGATATTTACTTCAAAACAGTTATTCTACAAGGACCACTCAACGCAGTTGGTTGTCCTACTAGACACAAAAATAACAAACTGATTTTTTTTTCTTTCTTTGCATCAGACATACTTCCAGCTAACCACAGGGTTGTCTGGTGACCTAACCTCTGACCTGGGGTCATCTCAGCAACACCTGTCCTCCCTTACCTCTGACCTGGGGTCACTGCAGCCACGCCTACCCTCCCTTTTCCTCCGAATGAGAAAACTGTGCAGACAGACCATGGACAAGGCCCCATACCCCACCCTCATCTCCACAGTCGACGAGTTTGCTGGTATGTCAGATTATCAAACCCTCTGGAATATGTTGCTACATTTGGGATTGTTAACATCAAGTGTAGATAGTCTGTAGTCTGGTAGCCATGTATGATTTTAAAAATATTTTCAGGCAGAGCTGTAGATTTGATATCTTACATTTCTTCATTGCAGGTGAAATTGCAGCAACAATAAAGGAGTTACAAACACTGGACGTGTCAAAGGTACGACTGTGCTCAAGATTTTTACTAACTAATTCAACATTTATTAGCTCTGCTCAAGGTTTTTTGAAGCTCCTTTGATCTTCTGATGATCCAACATTTATAAGCTCTGCAGTTTACTGAAGTTGATTGTCCTTGTCTCTTTCCCTAGACATCTGACAAAGACAAGCAGAAGTCCGAGGTGAAACACATCCAACTCAGGAAGAGAAAGGCTCTGTCAGAGTTGTTCAAATATCTGGGAACTATAGGTGGGAATTTTCTACATGCCACATTTTTTCATTTATTACAAAATTTGTGTAGTACTACATTTTCAATAAACTTTATTCAGAAATGGTAGCTGATAAACTTTTTACTCTCACCACTGTGTAGGTCTGTCCTATAGAAAAGGCCTGGGTTGCTTAGCAACAAGTGATTTGAACGAGGCCTTGCTGACTCCAGCGATGGATGTGGGTGCAACCTGTGCACAGATGACAGGAGGCATTCCTGACAGGTGAGATCTGTGGCATGCATACTCATAGGCAATTCAAACTCTACTACTGGACAGATTATGAAGGTAATTTCAGATAATTTTCACTCAGAACTTCTGGAAATTATCTTCGTTATTCATCCAGTATAGAGATTGAATTTCCAGAATGTCTAGCCTTCATCAACATGTAACATGTAGCATACATAGTTCAGTCCATCACCTCACTCTGTGTATCCAAGTATGTGTCTGACTTGCAGGGTGTTACTGTATTTTATTGTATGTCTATGTGACTTCAACTCCTGTCCTTGCTATTTAATCTAGTTGCTCCTATGATTTTTGTATTATTCAATCAACAATATGACTCAACAATACATTGCGTAAATTGGCTCTCATTAGGATAAGCTGTTTTATTCATTTGTGACTTGAACTTATATCTCTTCTATCGGCACCAGACTATGTCTTGGCTGGGAGGGTTGTGAGAAGTACTACTGGCGCTGTGTGTCACGTCGAGCTGCCATGCACGTTGCCATGGCAACTCCCGCCAAGGACCTGGGCGGAGCCAACATCGACAGGTGTAAAGGGTTCAGTGAACACCTGCTGACTGTGATGGTGGCTCAGAGGGGACACCTGGCTGACATGCTGGGGAGATGGGCGGGGCTCAGGTCAGATTAATACTTTTGACTAATATTTTTACATATTTTTGAGATTAATAACTGTAAATGCATTTCCTTTCATTGTGGTTTTATTTCATAGTAGGAGGAAAAATGAGGTTCTCCTAGTGTTGTAAATTCACTGTTCACTGCAAAAATAAAACCAACTTGAAAGTTTCTATATTTACAGTACAATGTATTTAACTTTGCTATTTCATGAAGTTAAAATGATGGAAGAAGAGGAAAGGAAATAGCAGCTTGTAGCATGAACTTTATAGCATTTCATAATTTTGTATCACTGAAGACCTTTTTTTTTCTGTCTGTAGGATGATGCTGTCATCATTGGAGAGTCTCCGCTCCACATTACCAGAAGGTACTGTGAAACCTGCCCTCCCACCACAACACCAGACTGTCACATGGCTACACACACTGAAGGCCTTACTGGACAGGTATCTGTATCATTCTGTATTTTGTCACAACTAAGTCTTCCATATCTAACCCCATGCTATGTTTAAAACTATCTGTTAAAAGATGCTGTGTGTACAATACTGAGTGCCATGCAAGATCAGTACCAGGGGAATCTTTTAGTACCCTTGTTTTATGAACACTGGAACATGTAGCATTTGTTGGCTCTTTATTGATAAGATATAGGCTATTTTTTGTATTTTGATGCATTGTACACATGAGATTGAGAACAGTTTTCTTTATCCTGTTATGTTTTAAGAACACTGGTTTAAGCATTAGAACAGTGGAACATGTAGCCTTGGTTGGCACTTTATTGTTCTTTTCTAGGCTTGCATAAGATATAGGTTAGTGTTCTTGTTTTGTTTGATGTATAAGAGTAAGAGTAAGAGTTTGATGTATAAGAGTAAGAACAGTTTTGTTTACCCTGTACTCCAGGTGTGCCTGCTGTCTGGACCAGTTCTCCACACTCCTCCAGGCTTGTCCTGCTGCTCCAGAAGGGAACATCCTCCAGCCCCCCTCCCCCCTGACAGCAGACAACACATCACCGGCCTCAAGGATGAGGCTTGAGGATAGTGGACACCAGGATTGCTGCAACAAGCTTAAGGTGATCTTCTTTATATCATTGGATCATTTCTGTTCTTATATCACTATATCATGTATAGAAATTCTGATAGAGCATTGCCAGAACAGCCCAGCCAGCATAGTTGCCCTTGTTGACTCTGATGCATTGGTTTGTTGTGTACTACAGGAATGTGGTGATATCATTCAAGACTTGAAGTCAAAGGTGGACTCAAAGACATTGGAGCTGGAGAGACTGGACACTCAGCTTGTATCCTGGTCAGTCTAGTTGTCATTGTCAGGAATTTTTGACTTGGTGTGTGGTACATAATTGTACTACAGTAACAATAGTTTAACATGTTGTATAGAACATGTTAAGACTATAAAACTTGTTGAAAGTGAAATTATCAATATTTTGTTATCTTCTGCTTCTCCTTTTTGCTGGTCATTTATTTTCTGTGTCTTCCCCATCACCAGGGAAGTATTTGGTCTGGTTGACTCAGGATTCCAGTCCCTGACCAGCCTCCAGTCCAGCCTGTTGTGTATAGAAGCCCAGTTCAGCAACAAGGGCAGAGCCACAGGTTCTGTCATCAGGGATGGCAACAGGGAGTTCAGCACCAGGGACAGAACCACAGGTTCTGTCATCAGTGATGGCAACACAGAGTTCAGCACCAAGGACAGGACCACAGGTTCCATCATCAGGGGTGGCAACAGGGATTTCAGCACCAGGGACAGTGCTAACAGCACAGGCCTTGCAGACTGCCTGACTCAGCTCAGAGAGGAAGTCACTGAGAGATGTGCCGAGTTTGGGCAATGGAAGTCAACAAGTGGGGTTGTGGACTGCACTACTGGTAGGTTTTCTTCTTGTTACGTTTACGTCAAATTTATGATTCTTTGATAGCAAACTAGTTTGCAAGGGAGCCATTAACACATCTTACAATAATAGACATGGAAACCAAAAATTTTATATACAGAACAGGGCAGAAAGAAACAGGATGATAACACAATGGAGAACTTTTATGGAACAAATAGTTATTTATTGACTTAAAGTCTTGTAGATGAGTTTTAACCGAGTGTTGGTCTGTCCTTCCAGGCGCTGATGTTGGCAGCTGTGTGGAGAGTTTTACTGAAGAGAGAGACTCGGCAGTGACAGCCCTGCTGCTGGCAGTTCAGCATCTGTTCAAGTCTGTCACTCAGCAGGACACTGAGGAGGAGGCAGAGAAAAAGGAGGTGGAAGAAGGTTAGACAATGTTTCTGCTTCTTCTTCTTTCTTTTGCCTTTCCTGTGGGAACATTAGCTTCAGCTGGATTGAAATGTTTGATGTATTCCAGAGTGTAATGAAAGAAACATCATATTTGGTCCCCCCCCCCTCTCTTCCAGATCTAACCTTCCATCTGCAGGAAGGGTTGGTTACCAAGCTATTAGAACAAGGCCTCCAGCAGGACTGTGCCACTCTGAACATGGGGAGGGTACAGGATAGCATAGCTGCACTGGTCACCAGAGTTAGAAATGCACAGGACCACAACAATGGAAAGGTTGGTTTTTAGTCAAAAATTACAGTCAGTCAATTTTTTTCACAGAATGCTGTATCTTTTTATCTTTTATCTTGATATGTTTGCACACTGTTCTTATTATATAATAGTATGCTAATTGACATTTTTCCAACCCCAGGATGCGGATGCCTGCGTGTACCTGCTCCTAAACCTGGTTCCCATGCTGCACCAGTACGTTGCCATGACTACCTACTATTTGACCTTGAGGTTGACCTCCCACCGTGCCACCTGCAAGCTGCTGTCCATCCTGCTGGGGCTGTTCTCTGACCTTGCCAGCAAGGTCAGTGAAAATTTATTATTATTTGTGATTTCAAATGCTATTTTGTAGAATGTCCACATTTTCTTTGGTCTTGACTGTGTGTACATTTATCTTGGTCGTGTAAAAAGAAAACTCCTGTATCCTATACTTAACAAACCTGATGAAGCTATTTTCGGATATGTTTCCCAGGGCTTCTGTCTGCCAGCAGAGTTGAGTGATGAGTTGGGAGGGGAGGGAGCCACACAGTTTGAGGACATCGAGGGAGGAGGGATCGGAGAGGGGGAGGGAGCCAAGGACGTCAGCGATCAGATCGAAAACGAAGACCAGGTAGGGATCTCTGGCTTGTTGATTTTTCTTAGATCATATTTGATGCCACCATATTGCACTATCAGCTATCAGACAAGCATTAGACTTCATCTCTAGACTTATGCCAACTGAGAGTCAGCTGATTTTGACTTGCTTTACACAAGTGTTAAAGTTTGTTCTGTATGTGTATCTGTATCAACCATATACGTAAATATATGCTATTTCAGATTCATTGTAGATATGCCATTTGCATGATAACCATGCTGTTCTGATGTTATTTGAGCTCCATGTAGGATTTCACTCACTCACTCAATCCTCTTGCACAGAGGGCATAGAGCCCACCAGGTCAACCAGTTCTCTCCATCTCTGAGGTGGGCGAGCCGTTTTGCTTTGTCTAAGGTGGTGCTGTCCAGTGCCAGGACCTTGGCAAGGATTTACCAATACATTTACATACTACCTCTTTGTTATTTTGTCGTCTCTCCAGCTCCAGGATGCCCAGAAGCCTGACCAGGACCGTGAAGACCAGGACCCTGATCAGCAGCCGGACGTGCAGGATGAGAAAAATGCTATCGAAATGTCGGACGACTTTGACGGAAAAATGCACAACCTCGAAGCCGGTGTGTAGAACTTAATTTTTCTGACTAGTACAGATGTAAAGAGAGACACCGTCCTCACAGACATTTGAATTGTAGGAGGAAGATCTGCAGTAGTTTGTGGGGAAAACAAATGTTGTAGCACCTAAATTCTGTATTCATATCACTGGAATTTACGTCATGACAGTTTCAGTTTCCAACACAAAATGTTAGTGCATCAAATTTTCAACTATCCCAAACTACAGACTTTTCTTTTATTCTTCTTCATGAAGCAAAGTTTCAGATGTACTATCTTTACTACCAAAACAAAAGGATTTCCATGGTAACTTATGAAACACTAACATTTTGTGCCTGCAGAAGAGGGAGAGAACTCTGACTCAGAGGAGGACGAAGCCGACGAAAATGAGCTGGACAAGCAGATGGGAGATGTGGACGGGGAGGGGGCTGAGAAACTCGACGAGAAACTCTGGGGAGACGACATGGAAGAGGAGGAACAGCCAGAGGTGAGGGGGACTGAAACATGCTGGGGGTGGAAGGGGGAAAGTCAAAGACTCTGTTAGGGTCTGAGAAACTGAAGGAGAGACTTTGGTGGGAATGACACAGGAGGAAAATAAGAACTTGATGAAAAATCTTTAACCTTTTAGTCATATTTAGTACTTTTTACTCTGCTTGTATGATTTTAAAAAATCCATTATGAAGATACACATGTATCTTGTTTATACTGCAAATTAATTGTCATTGAGTGAATGTATGTTTTGTTTGTCAAAGTCTGAGAAAGAAGAACATGGCAAAGGTGCTGAGCAGGAAGAGGATTCCAGAATTGTAGCCAAGGATGACAACAAAGACGGTAAGATTTGTCTTAGATTCTGTAGGATTCCATTTAACACAGACTCTTAAAACTTTCTACATTGTATTTTAAGGTATATTAGGATGATTGGCTTTGGATACAAAAAAAGATGTAATGTTATAAGTGTTTCTTTAATTTCCTGCAGAAGGTCAAGACAAGGATAAGAAGGATGATCGACAGAAGAAACAGGAGGAAGAAGACGGAGAAGGAGAAGATGACGTCCAGCCTCATAACCTGGAGGAGCTGGATGAGGTAAAACTCTTTCCATTTTCTGACAAAAGGCTCCCTGTACCAAATTTTTTGTTTTGTTTTCAGGTTTGTTTGTTTGTGCCTTTATTTATACTCTATATGTATCTATAGATATATATCTATATAGATCTGTAGATCACCCCATTTGGCCATTTAGGCTGTTTTTTGTGGGGGTCTAGTGCAAGGTCACTTCTTCGAGTTCAGGTTATGTCACAGGGAGAAGGCTTGCAGTAGTTAAACGTTCTACATGTAATGTTGCTCTTTTCAGAGAGAGTATGATGAGAATGAGGTTGACCCTTACCATGGTGATGACCAGGCCCCGCCCCCTGAACCAGAGGTCATTGACCTTCCTGAAGACATGGAGCTGGATAAAGAGGAGGGAGAGGAGGACACTGGTGAGTGATGATGGGTCAAAACCAGCAAAAAATGTCTGGTCTTTGGAAGTATTTTGGAAGGATTAGAAAGTGCTTAATCTAATCAAACTACTTTGACTGCCATTACTTTGATTCATACTATTTTGTTTATGGTGTCATATAGGTTTATAATATGTCTTTTGGTTATCCAAATTGCACATGACACTGTGGTCAATTTTTCATCCATGGAGACAAAATGTGATGTTGTTATATTCTTATTTCATCATTTACATCACCTATTTTCCGTGGTTCCACTGATCTTTCTTGCAGAAGGCAAAGATCAAATGGATGTTGAAAATGATGATGTGGAAAAAGATATGAAGGAGGAAGAAAAAGAAGAAGATCAAGAAATGCAGGAAGGAGAAAACAAGATGGAGGAGGAAAAGGTACAAGGTGAAGATGAACAAGACATGGAAGAAACTAAAGACATGGAATCAAAGGACATGGAACAAACAGAAAATACCAAACAGGCTGAAGAAGAGAAGGAGGAGGAGGAAGATCCTAATGAAGCAAGGAAGGAGGATGTTGCCATGCCAACAGATGTGGAAGATCAGGAAGAGGATGAAGGACAACCAGATGGAGAGAAAGGGCAGCATCCAGAAGTAAGTTGCCTTTGTAGTTCTCTGTTAAACTTTATATTCACGGACAAACAATGGAATCAACTGACCAACAGTTACTACTGTAACAATCTTTTTTAAGGAAGCTTGAAAGTTTATCAGATTCTGCATTGATAGAAATTTCCATCACAAAAGCTTTGAACTTACCCAAACACATGTATTTGACTAACCAATTGTTCTTATCTTTCAAGGACCACCCAAACATGGACAACTCAGTTGAAGATGAACAAGAAAAGGAAGAGGAGAAGAAGACCGCTGAGAAGTTCGGTGTTGCTCAGACCAGCCAGGAGGCCATACAGAACCAGGATGCTCCTCCTGACAGTACTGCAGACCCTGCCAGCAAGGAGGACCAGCAGGTAGGGAAGGGCAGATGTGTTACAGTGTGTTAGTAACATTATTATGAGATAGCTAGAAAGCTACTGTATTAGTACACCATTTCTGTACTCAGACTTGGTACCTACAAGCTTTGTACATTAGGGATTGGTTGATTTGAGCCATTGCACACTGGGGTGTGCACCTCCTACTCCTGTGAAGAACTCTAATCTTTACCATGCTTCAAGCATGATCCTACTTGGACACTCAGGACTGACAGTTTACAACTCAGATCCTATAACCCTAACCCTATAACCATGCAATTCCAAGAAGTTGCCTGCATGTCTGAGCTCAGAACTCAGAAGGGATAGGCTGGGATTCAAACTTCTGTCCTTCTGGTCCAACTACATGTATGGACTCTCTTTTTCCCCATTCTGCAGGACCAGGGTGTTGGGATGACCCCATCAGATCAGGATGGTGGAGAGAGCGGCGTGACGTCCAGCGCGGTGGCTCCCTCAGAGGACAGGAGACGTCAGCAGCCCAGCAAGAGAAAACCAGGACAGTCGGACTTCGATCGCAGCCTGGGGTCACACGAGGACACGGTGCACAAGAGACTCCGGACTATGGAGTCTGCTGGGGAAACTCAGGAGGTACATTTTACAATAACAATACTTTCATTTCAGTAACACGGATGGAACATACAGCATAGTTTGGCCTATCAACTGGGACAAAATGTTACCAGTATGCTTCATTTTTAGCACATAGGCAATGAAACCAAGTACTTGATGATACAAAGAAATGCTAAAGTCCTAATGATACAACCTGGAGGTCCCATGGTTTGGGAGAGCCACACCCCACGCACATTAAAGAACCCACTGCACTTATAAACTAGAGTTCCACGATCTCATACCTTCGCCAAATGAAGTTAGCCTTTATGAATAAGAAATTATATATTAATCCCCCTCATTATGCAAATAGGATCCTCAATTGCATGAATTATATCTGTTGATCATATTCTACACCAAAAGACAGTCTTATCTTAACAAAGAATGCCATCATAGCATTTCCTCATAAATTATGCAAATGTGGTCCTTATTTGAGTAAGTTATGTTTAATTATGCTCACCTTCACTTAACTTTCAAACACCCCAAGTATGAAATTCAAGGCAGTTACCACCATGCAATTATAACATTTTCTCATTAATTATGCAAATTAAGTCTTCATTTGCATAATCGATATCTGCCTGTGTTTCTCTCGTTCTTAATAACATATGTTACAAGCTTGGACTTCCAATAATGGAATGCAGCTGATTTAGAGAATTTCCTCATTAATTATGCAAATTACATTCATATTTGCATAATTGTAATCTCATTATGTCAAGCATCACTTAAGCTACCTACATACCAAAATTCAAAATTCAATCGGTTCTTGAGTTATCCTCTTTTAAACATTTGTCCTTTAAACCCCCCTGCAGTTCTAGAGCAAGCAACTAGGGGGCTCAAACTCATGTCACTTTATTCGCAGCACAAGAGCTATCTACCATCCAAATTTGGTTACCCTAGCTTGTCTGTATCATGAGATATCAAAACCGGAAGTTCTGCTGCAGTACCATGACAAGCCGCCAGGGGGCCCAAAATCTAATCATTTTGAGGTCTCATCAAGACCTACCCAACTACCAAATATCAAGTCAGTCCATTTAAGCCTTCTCAAGTTATCGTGTTTACACACACACACACACACACATACACGAACGCCTCTGAAAACATAACCTTCTTGGCGAAGGTAAAAATAGTAGGGGTCTTTCCTGGTGTGTGAGCGGATCAAACCTTACAGTCCCGTCTTACACAGCTTGCACTTACATGTACAAAACTGGTGTGTTACACCTGAAAAATGCAGTTTACCAGTTATATGAAGCAAACAAAGAACAATTGAAATTGTTATTCTGTTGAAAGATTTCATCCAACCACTACGCAGAATATGGCGCAATTGTGTTGCTTGTTTAAACACAGGAAAGGGAGACCAAGAATGAGTCAGCTGACATGTATGAACACGTGAAAGATGCGGAGTCCTCCTACGACACCCAGACGTTGGACGCCGCGACTCGGGAACAAACGGAATCCCAGCAGCCTCCAGTGCTGACAGACTCAGAGGGAGAGGACCAGGAGGATGCTGAGATGGAGATGGAGGATCTGCTCAAAGATGCAGCAGAGAAACAGGTATATGTGAAAGGATGTTATTCTGTGTTTGAAGATGGTAAGAAGTTATTCTACAGCTGCTAGCAAATTTCATTGATAGATGGGAATGATGAAATTGATGATATGTTTTTTTGACATGATATTGATTTTGTAAGGTCTTCAACAACTATCATACAAACAAGTTGTGAATACAAATGAACTTACCAAAAAACAAGTGAACACAAGACCTAGTACACATTGATAAATCAACATATGTTGAGTTTAACATATCATTTACACCACTGGTTCTAAGTTCTAATCATTGGTTGGCATTATACACATGTATGATTATAATATAATGACCAATTGTATAATAGCTTTACTGTAAAACAAAACAAAACCTGAGCTCTGTAACTTTCCACATCTGAAGGAGGAGCAGAAGGGGAAGGCTCTTCCATCAGCCATCCTGCACCCCCAGACGCAGGACCAGGAGAAGTCGGAGGGAACAGAGGGAGATGGGGAGGGAGGGGAGGACAGAGATGACACGCAGGGGGGAGAGGAGGAGGAGAAGAAGGAGAGAGAAAGGAGACTGGAGTCCACCATCCACACTGTGAGAGAGATGGATGTACAGATTGGGCAGGTGGGTTGTTGTGATGTTCTCACATGGTACATTTCCTGACCCCCCCCTCCCGATTAGATAAGAGTGTTGCCTGTTATTCATTAATAATAGTGTAAGGATACAATATACACCCCCACAAACTATTGGACCAGTCCGGTCAGAGGTCACGGACTGCACATGTTCTGACAAGAATACAGTTCATATCCCAGCACTTCTCGCATCTTCATTCCTGGAGTGATTACTTATAAGTTCCAATATCTTCACCAACTGGACACTTATATTGGTGGCAGCGGTGTCTGGCTTCGAACTCCCGCCAGCTCTGTCTTGTGGATCGCATTTGGAGCACATTGCCGACCGACGTTCGAGCGCCCCCCTCCCCCACCTGGTTGACTCGTGTCTACCCTGCTCTACCAAGACTCCAGGTATGGCTAACCTCCATCCGTTTACGCTAGAAGACGATGAGGAAATTACCTTTCCACGGCTGCGACCACTGTTGTCACCTTCAGAAATTTCCCCCATTCAATCCCGTGGCGCATCCGGTGTCCGAACTGCAACCACCCTCCCAGGCGCCCTCCCACGTACAACACCACAGGTGGGTCCCACACCACTGTACAATCAGTATGCTCAGTCTGCTTACGCTACAGGATCTTTTCCTGGTAGGGGTACCGTGCCCACAGCCACGTCTGTTGCTGAATCCAACACTCATGGGACCAGCCCTGCCGGGGCTTCTTACCACCAGGCTCCACCCCCTGCCATGACTCAGGACACCACCAACCAGCAACCCTCGTCAGACCTCCGCCTCAAGACAAGACTGCCACCCACATTTAACGGCACTGATGATGACTTCACCTTGTGGCTCAACAAATTTGACCTTTATGCCACTTCTCAGAAGTACACCCCTGAGGAACGTGCCATGGCCCTCCCAACTTTCCTTGACCACCATGCCCTGCGTTTCTACCTTGGTTTGCCGAGGCAGGCCCGTGCTACCTATTCAACACTGACTCAGCGCCTGGCCACTGCCTTTTCCAAGGAACACTACATTTACACGTTCCGCCAGTCGCTCCAGGAACGAACACGCCAACCTGGAGAACCCTTGATCGTATTTGCACTTGATCTACGCAGGTTGGTAAGCCAAGCCTATCCTGAGTACAACGAAGCAGCGGTTGAGGGGCTTACCTTGGACTACTTCTTCAGGGGAATTGATCCTACCATCCGCAGACGGCTTCGCGAGGTGCAGGCCACAACAGTGGACCAAGCAGTCAAAACCGCTACCATGCTGGAACAGGCCGCTACAGCAGCTGCATGGGAGGCCAACAAC